CCCGTGTCCCCTGCATCGGCAGGCAGACTCTCAACCACTGCGCCACCAGGGAAGCCCCCCTGCCTGAGTCTTTAAGAGCCCAGATTCTGGAGTCAGGAGAGTCTGGAGTTAGACAGAGAATCCTAACTCCACAGCTTTCTAGCTAGGTGACCAAGGCAAATTACAGATGAGTTCCCTCATCTGTGAAATGGGACAGTAATGACATCTGCCCTTCTAGGGCAGATGTGTGTGGAGCCCTCAGAAACTTGCCTGGCACACAACGAGCACTCAGGTGGGGGCACTGATGCTCCGGCAGGGCCCCAGCGGAGCTGGCTCCTCCGCCAGATGGAACTGGACACCGCCTTCCTCCGGGAGCTCAACGTGCTGGATTACAGCCTCCTGATGGCCTTTCAGCGTCTCCATGAGGATGAGCAGGGCACAGACAGTGGCCTCATCTTCCGCACAGCCAGGTGGGCCCCCCAGAGGCAACAGCAAGAATGAGGTGATGAGAACATGGAAAAGACAGTGTAGTGGGGGAACAGCACAGGCAAAGGCTCGAAGACTGGAAAGTGCAGTGTTTGTGTGTATGTGTGTACGTGCGTGTGTGTGTGTGTGTGTGTGTGTGTGTGTGTGTGTGTGTGTGTGTAGCGTGGAGGGCTGGAGAAGCCTGGCCGGCAGGGGTGGCAGGCACAGATGGATCTCAGCAGAAGAAAGACCAGGTGAGATCCAGTTGAGCTTTTGAAGAATCTGCCCATTTTCCAGAAGGAGATGTGGAGCCATTGAAGGTTTCAGACCTATTTAATTTTTGCCTTAGAAAGAGCCCTTGCCCCTTAACTCGGTCATTTCACTTTGAGGACCTCGAAGTCATCACCACTGGCACCATCATCTTGTTGCCTTCCTCTTGCATGCAGCCAATCTTTGCATGCTGACTATGAGCCTCATTGAGAGGATGGGCTCATTCCCATTTTAGAGATGTGGAAACTGAGCCTCAGAGAGAGGAAGTGAAGTTGTAGAATGACTTTTGAGGATTCATGTTAGTACTTGGTTAGTGACTTGCATTTCAGTCCTCCAAGGCCCACATCTGTGGTTGAACCAAATTACTCAGGGTTTAAGACAGGCACTTCAAGGAAATAAGTTCATTGATCCAGTGGGTGGACAAGTGAAAAATGATGTCCACTCACTAGCCCCCATCCCCACCCCTTGGAGGAAGACCTTGGGATGGGTGAGTCTGTGGCACAACCCAAGGTAATGGCTTGGTGGGCACATCCTGACCAGATGGTGGGATGCCTGCCATGGGGCACAGAATCCACCAAGTCTGCCCATCCAACCTAGGTCAGCTTCTCCCTTGCCCTCTACCCCCAGATAGTGCTCATATTACAGCCGTCATTCAGCAGGTAAACCCAAGTGTGCATACGACGGTTGTTTCTCCATGCTGCCTGGTGAAAGGTCACAGCTACAGCCCCACCCCCACCCAGTTCCCAGCCCCTCATTCAGAACCCACCACACCCAGGTTAACCCTGGCACCGCAGAGAGTACCAGCGCTCTGTTCTGGCTCCCAGACCACTCGGTTCTGATTGGTTGGTGCTTGGGTGGGACTTTCTTTGATTGCTTTCTTTCCCCCAAGACCTGGGCAGGGCAGGGATAAAGCCCTCAGCGACCCCCCCGCCCGCGACCCCCACTCCCAAACTCCCACCATCACAAGAGGACAACGTTAGGGGACTGAGCCTGCTTCTGGTTGGGATTGGGGGCCCAGCCAGAGACACCTTCTGATTTGGAATACAATTTGAGGCAAAAAGACACACCATCTGCAAACTTGGGTTGGACTTTGTCTGCAAGGTCTCAACTCTGCCACCCTGAAACTCCAGGGTTGGATAACCCCAAACAGCAGTTTAGGAAGTACCCAAATATGGGACTTACCCAAAGTGATGTGGCACATAAGGGCAGAGCCAGAGTCTGTGTGACCCAAATGCTCTAGACCAGCGCTACCCAGTAGAAATTTAATGCGGGCCACACATGTAGTTTTAAATTTTCTAGTAGCCTCATTTTTAAAAGTAAAAAAGAAATAGGTAAAAATAATTTTAATAACATATTTCACTTACTTCGTACATCCAAACTTTTATCATTTCATCATCTAATCAATATAAACATTTATGAGATATTTTACATTCTTTTTCTCACACTGCTTTGGAAATCCAGTATGTATTTTATACTTACTGCGCATCTCATTTGGGACTGGCCGCATTTAAGTGCTCAGGGCCACATATGGCTGGCTGCTGGCTGCATAATGGACAGCTCAGCTTCAGACCGTCAACTGCACTTTACTCAGCTGCCCAGTTTATCTGACATCACAGGCCCGGGCACACGGGAGGTGTGGGAATGACCCAGGGGCAGCATGGCCATGCTGACAGGGTCCATTGGCTGGGGCTCCCTGGAGGAGGTGGTAACCTCACCCTCCTGTCTGCCCCCAGGTCTATGAGAGGGGTACAGAGCCTGGAGGAGCCGGAAGCCCAGAACCGCCGGCTGCTGCCCGACACCCCCAACGCCCTACACATCCTGGACGGGCCAGAGCAACGCTATTTCCTGGGCCTCGTGGACCTCGCCACAGTCTACGGGCTCCGCAAGCGGCTGGAGCACCTGTGGAAGACGCTGCGCTACCCAGGCCGGACCTTCTCCACCGTCAGCCCAACTCGCTACGCCCGTCGCCTCTGCCAGTGGGTGGAGGCGCACACCGAGTGACAGGCGCCCAGCCGCGCTCTCCCCACCTGGACAATGGTCGCCCGCTGGGGACGCGGGTTCCAGCTTGGCCCGGGCAGCGGGTCGGGCTCTCCTCGCCTGTTGTTCCTCCTATTGGCCTCCAGAGGGCAGCATCCCCTAATTAATATTATGAACTCATTTTGCTGGGGATGCTGTGCCTGGCATTGTATCAGGGACTCCCTTACATTATTAGCTCATTTAATCCTCAAAAAAAAAAAATGCTATTATTCTTTTTTTTTACAGACCATGAAATGAACGCTCAGGGGGTGAAGGGACTGAGCTAGATCATTCAGCAATAAATGCTGGAACCAGGACTCAACTATGCCTTTTGGACTCAGGAGCCTGTATTCTTACTCACCAGCTCCCACAGCCCTGTCCTCATTGGGGAAGCGGGGAGGCTGAAGCCACCAAGCCCAGCCCCCTTGTCGTCCAGATGGGGAAACTGAGGCCCAAAGACTTTAAGGGGCTTAGTACGGGTAAGTGGCAAGGCCAGCCCAAGAACCCGGGCCTCCCAACCCCCTGCCCTGGCTCAAGCAGGGCCCACTGGCCTCCCTCTGGGGTGGCCCCCCTCACTCCTGCTCTTCTAGGATGCAGGTGGGAGGAGGTGGGGGAGTGGGGGGGCTTCAGCTCTGGGAAACATTAGACTGCGGTCCACTATGGATCTTGAGTAAGCTCTGCCCTCATCTGGGAGTCACTTTTATCATCTGTGAAATGGGAGCAGGGGTTGGTGGTCAGATGGAGGGACCTGGACACACAGACATCACTGGGAGCAGAGAAGAAAATTGCCTGCATAGCCTGTGATCTTTCCTTCTCCCTCCTCCAGGAAACTCCAACTCTGCCTTTGGCCCCAGTCCAATCCGACCATGCCCAGGTGGCCCTTTCCTCTAGAGCTTCTCTGGGGCCTGGCTGTGTGATCAGGACAAGGTGCTAAACCTCTCTGTGCCTCAATGGTCTAATCGTTAAAATGGAAACATTTAACTCATTAAATATTTATTGAGCACCTGCTATGTGATAGGCCCTCTGCTGGGAAATGGGGACGTGGGGTGGAGCAAGATGCATAGATTCCACCACCACAGAACTCACAGTTGGGGGGGACAGTGACAAAAGCAACCTGTGTGACAAAGCCTTGCGAAGGAACATGGGGCTGTGGAGCTCAGGGAAGGAGCCTCTACCTAATTATTTGATGGGTGGGTGTGCTCTAACCCCTTCACTGAGACCAGAAGAATCAGATGCAGCTCTGGGAGGGTCCCAAGCCAAGGACACAGGAAAGACCTGGAGTAAGAGAGAGCCTGGCACTAGAGAGAAAAACATGACACTGTGGTTGGAGTTCGGGGCTGGGGGTACAGTGTGGGGGTGTAGGGGGCTTTGTGGGCCAATGGCTGATCCCTGGACTGGATGACTCCAGACCTTGGGAAATTCACTCACCCACCACTGCCATTCCATTGGCCTTGAGAGAAAAGGAGGAAAAATGGCTGGTGGGGGAAGGGAGAGGAAAGGGAAATCTTATGCTGCAGGGCTGGAGTGCGGGTTCCTGGAATATATATACACATATATAATTGACCTCACCCTTAGCTGCCTGGGTGAGTCTGGGTGATTACTCTACCTTTCTGAGCTGGCACAAGCCACAGAGCATTTCTTGTTCTGGCTCAGCAGGAAGCTGAGACATAGAGTGCATTAAGGTCATCACTAAGGAGGTGGGTGGGTCGTGGAGACTCTGGTGGGAGGGCAGCACAGCAGGAAACTGGGGTTTGGCCCTACATTTCCCTGGGATCTGAATCCAACAGGGCTGAGTCAGGGCCTGAGCCCTACGCTCAGAGATGGGTATAGCTCAGCCCCTACCCACTTTGGGTCTCTGGCAATGGGCTGAGGCAGGGCCTGCGGCTGGAAAGGAAGTGGCTTGTCCAACGTCTCACGAGGCCCAGGACTCCTGGCTCTTCTAACTGGCTCATTCAACAGACATTATCTAGCACTGAGTGTGTGCCAGGCACTGTGCCGGTGTTGGAAATGCCCTAAGAACATGACTGGCCTGACTGCCCGCATGGAGCTTAGAAGCTGGTGGGCAGATGGACCATAAACAAGAAAACCAGTTAATACACTGCATGATTTCAGAGTGTGACAAGTACTATGAAAAAAATAAATCAGGTTGGGACAAGAGGGATAGTGGTGCCGTGTTGGATAGAAAAGTTGGCAAGGGCCTTTCTGAGGAGGTGATATTTGAGCTGAATGACAAGAAAGAGCTGGCCATCTGAATAGAGAAGTCCAGGTAGAGGATATAGCAAGTGCAGAAGTCCTGAAGTAGGAACGAGCTCAATGCAACTGGAGATTGGAACGGTGGCCAGGGTGGGTGGACGGTGATTAAGAAGGAAGCAGGAGGGCCTCCCTATTCTATGAAGAGTTAGGAGAGGACTTTTGCCAAAACCAAATTGAAGAGCTTCATCTGAGGCTGTGGGACTTCCCAGTGTCAGTTCCACTGTGGATGTATGACCCTCATCTACTCTGGGAGCCCAGGACATTTGGGCATGTCTGGGCTTGTCAAGACAGGAACTTGACCATGTCTCCATGCCTTAGCAAGGAAGGATTTGCCTCTCTGGGGAAGGAATCGTCACCAGCCATTGTGGGTGATCAATGAATCCATAGGGAACATCTCATCATTTTCCCCTTGGGGTTGGGGCCACGGAGAGAGACTGAACTGAGGTGTGCCCAGGCTGGAGTGGGGGATACAAGGAAGGCTTGTGCTCAGCGGAGGCCCCGGGGGCAGGGCTGCTTCAACAGAGCCCCCAAAAGGATGGGGAGAGGCATGGAGGCCTAGATCACCGGCTTGGGGGAATTTGGCTTTGCATATGGAGTGCTAGCCCTGGAAAGCTGCTGATCTGGGTACAGATACCCAACATAGATACCCTGCTGTTGTGCCCACACCGGAACCTCTTAGAAAAAGGAAAATGGAGTTTGAAATGGGACCAGAGCTGGAGCCCAGGCTGGTTCCCAGGCCAGGGCCCTGCAGAAGGGGATGCATGTGGTAAGATGAGCTTTCTTTCAATGCTCATAAAGCATTTTGTAAAAAAGAAAAACAGTTTAGATGGGAAGTATGCTCTCCACTTCACCCCAGGCCTGCCTCTCCCAATTGCCTCCTATTTGCCCCTTCAATCCTATCTGGCCCCGGAAAGCACTTGAGTTTGAATCCCCGAGGGACCCCAGGTGAGCCTTCGAATGCGACACATTTCAGCACCTGCAGGGGCCCTACACTGCGTTGGCTTCGAATTGGAGGACACTTTGAGAAGGGGGGTGTTATAGTGTGACTTCTTTTGTACCATGATTCTTCCTCATCTTGTGTGAAACTCATAGGATTTAACCTCAGTAATTCAAGATGGAGTCACAGTGGCCAATGTGAACTTCCATATTAGCTGTTGTCCGCCTGGCGTAGCCAAAAAAAAAAAAATTAACAGTGTTTATTTATTTGGCTGCGCTGGGTCTTAGTTTTGGCACGTGGGATCTTCGTTGCCACGTGCAGTGGCATGCAGGATCTAGTTCCCTGACCAGGGATCAAACCCGGGGTCCCTGCATTGGGAGCGTGGAGTATTAACCACTGGACGACCAGGGAAGTCCCAGTAGTTTTGCTTTAGACAAGGAATTTGTTTGGTTCCTCAGGAAGACTCTACTGGCACAGAGACTGATAGAGACAAGATTCTTTGGGGCATAACTGTTACACCCTACAGGCAGATCCTTTAAAATGAGACCACAAGACTGAGCAACTTGAAGGCTCTTTGCTGGAGGACTCCACACTGCTGAGAGCTGTTCCAGACGGATGCTCTGTTGGAGCAGAAGGCGACTTCCCACTCACATTTGTCATGAGATTCTGGTTCAGCTGGACCAAAGCCTGCTGCTCGCTCGTGCTGAGACGTGACCTTCCCAGTCTTCTCCTTGGAGTTGTTTGTTACCCCCTTTTCTATTTTTCCCACTAACCTGTGTTGTGTGCAATAAACCAAGTGACTCATGAATTGAATACTGGTTATGGTTTTTGGGGTTTTGGGTTTTTTTAAAATGTTTATTTATTTATTTGCTGTATCAGGTCTTAGTTGCAGTGCGTGGGCTCTAGAGTACCCAGGCTCATTAGTTGCGGCACAGGCTTAGTTGTCCTGCAGCATGTGGGATCTCAGTTCCCTGACCAGGGATCGAACCGGCATCCCCTGCATTGCAAGACCAATTCTTAACCACTGGACCACCAGGGAAGTCCCATGGTTACGTTTTGTATATCCCCAGTCCTGTGATTCTAACCTGGTCTTACCGCTGGATCTTGCAGCAAAACGGGGGTGTTTGGGAGATGAAAGTAGGTGGTCAGAGCCCTGGCTCTGCAGTGACTGCCCAGGGTTTGAATCTTGGCTCTGCCACAAGATGCCACTGCACCATCTCACTGGGAGATGCTATCATCAGGTAGGTGCTATCATCATCCCCACTCCACAGAGGAGAAAAACTGAGGCTCAGGTGAACTCACCCGAGGTAGTCCAGGTAAGGTTGCCAGAGAAAATACAGGACGCCCAATGACACTGGAATTTCATATTTCTAATTATTGGTTGTTGCTGAAATTCCAATATAAGTGGGCATCCTGTATTTTATTTGCTAAACCTAGCAACCCTACCAAGCTTGAAACCCGGGGCTGCCTGAGCCTAAAACCCCGTTTAATTACCGTCCCGCACCGCCTCCCGCACCGCCCCCCGCCGCCCGACTTCATAAATGGAGAAACTCCAGTCCGGACGACAAGAGAGCCACGGCACATTGGCTCCGACACCCTCTAGCCCTTTCCTAGGCGGACCGCCCAACCCACCTCCCGCAAGAGCTTGGGAGACGTGCGGAAGGGCAGAAGAGGGGAGACGCTGGAGCTCAGACTCCGCCCCCAGCTGCCGAGGCCCGGCCGCCGGTCCCGGAGGCCCCTCCGCCACTGCCAGCCGCGTACTTCCCACCCACGCCGCGCAAGCCGCGCTCGTAAGCCCCGCCACCGCCGTTCAGCCCCGCCCCCAGCGCCCCTGTCTCCTCCCCGTCCCGGCAAACCCCGCCCCTGCCGCCGGCAGCGACCGCCCTTTCAGTTTCTAGCCTCCAGAAGCTGCGGCGACGGCACTGCCTCCGCCCAGGTCCTCCGGCTTCCTGCCCGGCTCGTCCGACCCACGGGTCATGGAGCTCGGAGCTGCGGATCGGGAGCAGCCGGCGCGTCCCAACCTGCCCTCCAGGTTAGCGCCCGGCCGGGTGAGGGGGTGGTGGAATCTGGGAGTGGGGTGGAAATCCCTCGTGCTGTCCCGCCCCAGGCCTCTCCATTAGTGAGGTAGGAGAGATGGGATGGGAGTCGAGGCTCCAGGCTCCTGATTCTGTCCAACCCAGAGTCGAGGGATGACCTTGAGCCCAGGGCTCCTCTCGTCTGCCTTTCCTTCCCCATCTGTGCAATGGGGACTGGGTTGGCTGGAGGTTTCCCAAGGGTCACTGATTCCAGCTCCTTTAGGATGGGGACAGAGCTTCCCCGTGTTTGGAGACTTTAAGGCGTTTGATTCCCAGAAGCCGTCTGCCCTGACCCCGGCCTGTACCCTCCCCTGCCTCAGTTTCCCTGGGCAGTTTCCTCAGAGGCCTGGGACCCAGCTCTGAGTGTCTGGGTTTTGGCAGGTCCCCGGCTCCCATCCCTTCCCAGCCTGATCCCTGGAGGCAGCAGCCACCCGGCTGCTGAGCGGCAGTGACAGCATGAAGGCTCCGGTAAGTGGCGGAAGGAGGAAGGCTCACAGGGGACTTGGAGGTGGCTTCTGGCACAGCAGCCTCAGTAGCCTCTCCCACCCCAGGGCTGACTGTCACTTCCGACTTCACTGCTCCTGAGCTGAGGAGAAGGCCAGACTGGCCTCAAAGGCCAGCCCTGATCTGGCAGGCTGTGTGGCCCCAGGCAAGTGGCATTCCATCTCTGGTTTCCGGGCCTTGCCCCTCTTCCTTGTAGAGTGGAGATAATAGCACTACCTCCTGTGAGCATCCAAGGTCACCCAGGTGAGGCATCTGTCTACCTGGGAGTGGGATATGTTGTGAAAGTTCAGTTTAGCTGCTCTTGATTTTATTCAGGAGCCCCTGGTGAGAACCTTGGATGTTGTGGGAAGTCAGCCACGGCTGCCTGAATCAAGGTCTCTGGGTCCCTTGTGGGCAGGGGACCAGGTGCCAGGCACAGCCTGAGGCCTCAGGGGCTGAACCCCCTCCTCCGCACAGCTGGCCACACAGAGATTTATTTTTAGAAGCTGAAGTGGCTTGTGGGCAGAATAGCGAGGGCCTCTGGCAGGATATGCCTGGGGGAGCTGGGGGGCTGCTTTTTCACTTCTGGTTTTCACAGAGCCCCAGCCAGCCACTCAGTGTTTCTGAGGGGTGGCAGAGGGACCTGGGCCTTGGGTAGGCTGGGAGAAAGTTAGCACCCAGAGAGACACAGGTGGTGACCAAGGTGGCCCAGCACACAATGGCATGTCCGGGTTGTGACCCCCACTAGGCGACCTCGCCTGGAAGGCTTGGTGGGGGTTACTCATTAAGCCTGCCCGCCGGGCAGTGGGCCAGGAGGGCTTCCTGGTTCAGATGGCCTTTGGCACGTCGTTTCTGGAGGCAGGAGCCTCTGGGCTGCAGCTTTCAGTTGTTGAAACCATTCGTTGAACGATGCTGCCCTCACATCCCTTTCTACCATCCCTTTACTCACCCGGTCTGCTGACCCAAATCGCGATCATCAGCTAGGGGGATGGCCAGTGAGTCAGCTGGGGGAGGGGATGGGCTATGGGCATGCAGGCAGCCTCATCCCAGGGTCTGAAGGGGGCTGGTTGCCCTTCTCATGGGCCACTCTCCTGTCCTCACGTGCACAGCACCTCACGGTAGTGCTTTGGCCACCGTCCTCACAGTAAGTTCACGCTGTGGGCATTACCTGTTTCAGAGAGGAAGCAGGCCCAGAGAGGTGGAGAGTTATACCCTAGGCTGCACAGCACACCTCAGCTTCTGGCTAAGAGCACGGTTTCTGGTTGTGAGGCCCCACCCTGCTACTTTCGTACTGTGTGGCCTGGAGCTACCCATTTCACCCCAAGTTGGTTCCCTTATCCTAGAATATAGGAATAATAATAGGGCTCATCTCAGGGTCATGTGCTCTGAGCCTGGCAGCCCAGAGGAAGGCCTGGTTAACAGAGATGGTGGCCTCTGCTGATGTTCTGGGAGCTACTGAGCTGGGGTTTGGACCCATGAGGCTGGGGTACAGCACCCCTGCAGAAGCCTCTAGGAGCCCCAGCGACCCCCACTCCCGCCCCATGACAACTGTCTCCCCAGGGTCGGCTCCTCCTCCTCACCCTGTGCTCCTTGGGCTTCTCCGCTGCCTACCTCCTGCTGTACTGCTGGGCCTGCCTGCCCTCCTGCCTGCCCTCCTGCCTGCCCTCCTGCCTGGACTCCCACCTCTCTATCAACTCCAGGCCCACTGTGCCAGGGCCCCAGCACTTCAGTGGCTACAGCAGCGTGCCAGATGGCAAGGTGAGTTGGCTGGGCAACATGTGGGGGGCAGGCCCGGCCAAGGCTACCAGGGTGCCCTCAACTCTCTGGGGTTGTGAGAAATGGGCTCATGTCAGGCCAGCCTGGACCCAGGGCTTGGAGCCTGTCCACAAGCTGACCTGTCACTTTACCTCTCTGAGCCTCAAGTTCTAAGAGGAAATGTCTTTTTTTTTTTTTTTTTGGCCGCACCGCACATCTTGCAGGATCCTAGTTCCCCGACCAGGGATTGAACGTGGGCCATGGCAGTGAACGTGCCGAGCTCTAACCATTGGACCATCAGGGAATTCCCACATGTCTTTTTTTTTTTTTTTTTAATTCAACAAATAATTGCCTGGCTGCTCTCAGCTGGGTGCTGGGGATAAAAAAAGGTGAATCAGACAGGGTGGCCACGTGGAACTCCCAGCCCAGTGAGGGGAGCCAGACGTCATCACATCACGGTGATGCGTGCATCTTTAGATTTACCTGTCTACGCACAATCCGTTTGTTCAGCAAGTGTGTCTTTGGTGCCTTGGATGTGTCCTGCCTTGTGCTGATTGCCGCTGGGGATACAGATGACACAGATAAAAGTCATATCAGTCCCAGAGCTCTCCCTCTGGGGGAGACAGGGACAGTGGGGCCCGGGGGTTACAAGGCAGCTGAGGCCCCTTGCCCCACGGCACACACCTCCCCATGCTTGCTCTGCTGGGCGAGGTTTGGAGCACTTTACCCCCTTCACCCTGATTTCAGTGGCCCCATCTGGTATGTTTCTCAAAGGCATCCCCCAACGACACCTGGTGCAGGAAGCTCCCAGTTCAGAGTTTGACAGCTCTCTGAACGTTGGTCAGAGGGAGGCATGCTCAGGGACCCTGGCTTGGAGGAGACCTATTTCAGACCTTCATCCCTCTGAGTCACAGTTGCCTTATCTGTAAAAGGCTGTCATTACAGTTCCTACCTCGGTAGGGTTACTGTGCAGGTCCAACTGGATGATTCACGGACAGTGTTTAGAACGGGTGCTGTGTAAATCTTTGATGAAGATGCAAAAACAGGGCTTCCCTGGTGGGAAGTGGTTGAGAGTGGTTGAGAGTCCGCCTGCCGATGCAGGGGATGTGGGTTCGTGCCCCGGTCCGGGAAGATCCCACATGCCGCGGAGCGGCTGGGCCCCTGAGCCATGGCCGCTGAGCCTGCGCGTCCGGAGCCTGTGCTCCGCAACGGGAGAGGCCACAACAGTGAGAGGCCCGCATACGGCCAAAAAAAAGATGCAAAAACAGCTGGGGTCGGGGGGACAAATTAAAGTGCCATACAGGTTTGGCCAGGTGGGACAAATGGCGAGGTGGGCTGGGTGGACGGTGTCCCAGCTCCATGGTCATGGCCAATGTTCATTTCAGATGCTCAGAGCTCATGGTGACGTGGGCCCAGGGTGGCCAGATCCTCTAAATTTTGTTGTTGTTGTTGTTTGTTTGTTTTTTATTTATTTTTGGCTGCGTTGGGTCTTTGTTGCTGCGCTCGGGCTTTCTCTAGTTGTGACGAGTGGGGTCTACTCTTTGTTGCGGTGTGTGGGCTTCTCACTGCAGTGGCTTCTCTTGTTGCGGAGCACGGGCTCTAGGCGGGCGGGCTTCAGTAGTTGCAGCACGTGGGCTCTGTAGTTGTGGCTTGCAGGCCCTAGAGTGCAGGCTCAGTAGTTGTGGCACGTGGGCTTAGTTGCTCCGTGGCACATGGGATCTTCCCGGACCAGGGATTGAACCTGTGTCTCCTGCATTGGCAGGTGGATTCATAACCACTGCACCACCAGGCAAGTCCCCCAAGTTTGTTAACAGAGCACGAAATCTAAGTTTGGAATGTCAAAAGGGCTGATTTTTATAAATTATTAAGTATTAATTGTCTTAAAGACCCTGTGTAGGACAAGCAGAACACCTCCTGGGGCTGATGGTGACCTTGGATCTGACCAGACCCCAGTTGTCAGGTCAGGCTCAAACTGAGGGCAGAATAAGGAAGTCTTGTTTATTGCTGGGGCGTGGAAACTGGGGCTACGAGTTCTTAAGTCAACATTATGTCAGACATGAAATGTCCCTGAGTGGGCTACAACACTGTGTCTTTTATTGACTAGAATCAATGTTCCCATATCCTTTACACGCCTCCATAAACCTGTGTTCCCCCAGGAGGGAATGGAGGCCTGGGGTAGGCAGCAAGTCCTTTGCTGGGAGCCCTGACCCCTGACACCCAGTGAATGTTTGCAGGCTTGTTGGCTCAGCTTCCGCCTCTTGGGGGATAATGAGGTGAGGGTTGGACCCTTACTGTGCCCTTGGTCTGTGCTGAGCACTCTCCAGGCATTTTTATTTGAATCCTTACTTACAACCTGGTCAAGTAGATGCTATTTTCATCCCCATTTTACAGATGAGGGAATTGAGGCTCAGAGAGGCAAAGTGACTTGCCTAAGTCCACACAGCTAGGAAGGGGCAGAGCCAGGATTGAGGCTCAGAACCAGAGGTTCCCAATGTTGTCGTGGGCACTAAAGACTGCTTTTACTTATAAACTGGAACAATGAGAATGGGACTGGGGCAGAGGAGGGAGTGACCTAAGAGTGATTCCGAAGAGCTGAGGTTCATATTTACCTAACAAACACATACATGACACCCAGTCTGTGCCAGGCACTGCTCTGAATGCTTTATAAATATTTGCTCATGTAACCTTAATGAGGAAATGCAATGTAGGGCCTCTTAGGGCCTCAGCAATAAAGACCAGGGTCAGGAATGTGGCTGATGAGGAAGCATGAAGATTCCCTGAACACAGAATCTTAGCTCTGCCACTTGTCATCGGTCTGACCTTGAGAAGGTCACTCCAGCTGCCCCGCCTCGGTTTCCTCATCTGCAAAATGGGTTGATAAAGGGACTTACATCCCTTTACTGATACATCTTACTGATATAGATGTCAAGTGTGGTCAGGGGGTGTTCCTGGGTGGAGGAGCAGGCAGGTGGAAGCTGTGTGCCCAGGACTTTCTTTCTTTTTTTTTTAAAGAATTGTTTTAGTTTTCATTCTTTTTTTATATAAATTTATTTTATTTCATTTATTTTTGGCTGTGTTGGGTCTTCGTTGCTGCACGCGGGCTTTCTCTAGTTGCAGTGAGCAGGGGCTGCTCTTTGTTGCGGTGCACGGGCTTCTCATTGCAGTGGCTTCTCCTGTTGTGGCTCACGGGCTCTTGGCGTGTGGGCTTCGGCAGTTGTGGCTCATGGGCTAGTTGCTCCGCGGCATGTGGGATCTTCCCGGACCAGGGCTCGAACCCATGTCCCCTGCATTGGCAGGCAGATTCTTCATCACTGAGCCACCAGGGAAGCCCGCCAGGACTTTCTTTCTCTCTACCTCCCCCTGCAGCCGCTGGTCCGAGAGCCGTGCCGCAGCTGTGCCGTGGTATCCAGCTCGGGCCAGATGCTGGGCTCGGGCCTGGGTGCCAAGATCGACGGTGCTGAGTGTGTGCTGCGCATGAACCAGGCGCCCACCGTGGGCTTCGAGGCGGACGTGGGCCGGCGCAGCACCCTGCGGGTCGTCTCCCACACGAGCGTGCCGCTGCTGCTGCGGAACTACTCATACTACTTCCAGCAGGCCCGCGACACCGTCTACGTGGTGTGGGGCCCGGGGAGACCCATGGACCGGGCGCTGGGCGGCCGCACCTACCGCACGCTGCTGCAGCTCACCAGGATGTACCCGGGCCTGCAGGTGTACACCTTCACCGAGCGCATGATGGCCTACTGCGACCAGGTCTTCCAGGACGAGACGGGCAAGAACCGGTGAGCCAGGGGCCTGCCTGCTGGGGTCTCCCTGGCGGCTGGGGGCCTGCCTTCTCCAGCAGCCTCTGGTCCATCGAGGGTCTGCTCTGTCAGGTGCTGGGGCTCAGCAGTGGTACAGGCGGACGTGGTCCTGCCCTCTGATGGGGGCTGGGAATCAGAGGGCTGTCATTCATCGAGTTCTCTTAGAGATGAAGAATTCCAAATGGTGGTGAGGGGCGTTCGGCCTCGCCAGCACGCGTTGTGGGGTGACTGGTGTGGGCCCGCGTCAGGGAGCTCTTCTCTCTGGAGGGGATGCTCTGAGACCTGAACTGGTCTTTGACGTCCCTTCCCGATAAGCAAAGCAACAGTGACAGGTCTAACAGCCCTTTTCACACACCAGGCGCTGCCCTCAAGATCTCATTCTACCACACGCCTAAAAGAGCGCCCCGACTCCTGTGGCCCCCTCCTCCACGCACGGGCTCCTCCCTGCCACCTCCCCACCTCAGAAAATACGGCTGCCAGCCTCCAGTTTTTCAGACAAACACTTGGGCTTTGCCCTTGACTCCCCTTGTTTCATCACCCGCCACGTACGATGGGCTCTCGAATCTCCTCCCGTGCCCACGGGTGCCACCTTGACCTAAGCCACCATCCCCTCCTGCTCTCGCAGCACCCCCTGCAGTCTGAGCTCCAGCTGCCCCAGGGAATTCACCCCATCAGTCACCTGCCCTCACCCTACAGCAGCTTCGCATAATGGGGAGAGTAGAGTCCAGACTCCCACCTCCTCCCTCCCCTGGCCTACAAGCCCCGCATGATCTGGCCCCTGCCTGCTTCTGTGACCTCATCCTCCTTCGCTTACCCTGGCCGCCTGGGCCTCCTCAGACATCCACGCTGCCCTCACCTGCAGTCCTGTGCACGTGCCGTTCCTTCCCCCAAGTCCTCCCACAAATGACTGTTTGCTTCCAGATGTGGATGGAGTGTCATGTTGACCCCAAATGAAGGAGCATCTACCACCTGACATCCTTCATCCCATTCTTTTGTTTCTTCCCAGCAGTTCTCTCCCAGCTGCCCACTCCCTTGAGAATGTTAGCAATGGGCGGGGCCGGTTCAGGCCAGCACAGGGCTTGGGAGGTGTTCAGTTTGAATGACTGAATCACCCCACAACCCCTCGGTAGAGGTGGAGGTGAGTGGCCCTCGGCTGGGAGAGTAACCAGTGCTGCTGCTTTGAGAGAGTCGAGGCCTGGGGTGGCCACACAGTTCCTTGCTCTGAGTTGGGTGTTGGGCCTGGAGGAGGAGCTAGGCTGAAAGTGTTCCCTCTCCATAGCCACCCATAATTATCCCCATTTCACGGATGGGTCACTGAGGCTCAGAGAAGTTCACGAGCAAACCTGATGACGCAGAGCAGATTCAAATGGAAGACCACTTGACTCCAGACGACCCTCTTCCCCACTTTCAATGACGGTGCTCTGCTGCCTCCTGCCATCTCCCCAAGCCTGGTCCCTTAGCTGTGGGCGGGATGTGATCAGGGCTGCCGCACCACCGCTGGGAGAGGGGTGGTTTGCTCAAGTCCTCTGTGGGTGGGAAGAGTTGAACGGACCCGGCTTTGCACCCCACCCCCACCTGTTGCCCATTGCTGGCCTTGGGCTGGGGCTGCCCCGTCCTTAGGCACCCCCAGAGCCCCACTGTGGGCGTCAAGGTGAGAGGCCCTCGGCTGGGAGGGGAACCAGTGCTGTGCCTTGAGAGAGCTGAGGCTGGGGCCACCTTGCTCCCAGTTGAGTTGGGGGTCGCGGCTGGCTGACTGCTTCCCTCCCTCTGCCAGGAGGCAGTCGGGCTCCTTTCTCAGCACCGGCTGGTTCACCATGATTCTCGCCCTGGAGCTGTGTGAGGAGATCGTGGTCTATGGAATGGTCAGCGACAGCTACTGCAGGTCAGGGCAGCCAGGCGCCGGGCGGGAGGGCACCATGCGTGGGCTTCCCAATGGGTGGCCGAGGCACAGGGTGGGAAGGAGCTCGGCCTCTGGAACAGGTTGGATACCAGCCTCCGCTCTGCCCGTGTGGCCTTTGGGCCTGGCCGCCACCTCCCAGAGCCTCTATTTTCTCATGTCCAAGAGAGAAAATAATCACACTTTCCTCAGAAGGTTATGGAAAGGTTTAGAGAGAGAATAATCTACCAAAGTGCCTACCACAACATCAGGGCTGATGGTGTCAGTGATCTATTACATCTAAGTTCTGACTTGTGATATTATATAGCTCAACGTTATCATAACTAATTGAACTGAAAGGGTTCCACGTCTTCACCCTCTGTTCTTCTTGGAACTTCTTTGCTGAGCACGTGGGTGAGATAGATACACGTGGGTAGCCTGTGTGCCCTCTGCCATGGCACCTGGCCAGACAGCCAGTGAGTAGCTGGGTGTGCAGGGCTGGCAGCTCCATGCGGCGGGGAATGAGGGCTCCCTCACCAAGAGCCCAGCACCAGGCGCTTTGCATATTTTGACCTGTGGTTTCAGCCGAGAAGGTAGATAATCACCATCCCCATTTTACAGATGGGTTATTGAAGCTCACGGCGTACGTCTTTGGCCTAGAGTCAGCCAGCTTGCAAGAGGCAGAGCCAGGGCTTGAACCCTGGCCTTTGGGATCCTCAGGGGCTGCCCTTTTCCTCCTTTGTTCTGGCCTCCCCTGGGACCAAGCATGGGGCTCTGTGGCCTGTAGTACCTGGCGAGAGGGGGTCCGGTAGGTGGCAGGGTCTGGTGGGAGGCGGGCGAGTTCTGGTGCCTCACGCTCATCCCTGTTCCCCACCCACAGGGAGAAAAGCCACCCTTCGGTGCCTTACCACTACTTCGAGAAGGGCCGGCTGGACGAGTGTCAGATGTACCTGGCACACGAGCGGGCACCCCGCAGCGCTCACCGCTTCATCACTGAGAAGGCTGTGTTCTCCCGCTGGGCCAAGAAGAGGCCCATTGTGTTCGCCCACCCATCCTGGAGGACCCAGTAGCCCCATCGCCCAGCCAGCCACAACGCCTTCACCAGGCCTCTGTTCCGACCACACTCCACCAAAAACATTTAATTTATGGATCCTGCCTCCTATCATGTGCCGAGCACACCGAAGTTCTCTTCCTGCCCTACCCTGGGGACACTTGGAGCCATCTCAAGTGGCCTCTAGACTTATGGGGAGAAGAGGAGGGCTGTGGTGACCTTTGCACCCTCCTCCCTACCCCTGCTCCCTGAGTAATCTGAGTCGGATTCGTCCCACCTCTGAGTCTGTCCGGTGGCCTTTGCTCCCGGGGCTGGCAACCCCCCTATTCACCAGCACCATGAATTTCAACCGAGCACCAGCCCTGGCCCTTCCTCTCTGCACTCCCTCTCCACCTGCCTTTGGTGCCACACTTCCCAGGCTTGCCGCCCTGGTCAGGGCAACCCAGAACTTGAGGTTTGTTGGGCGAAGGGGCCTTTGAACTGTGACTGCCAGGGCCACCTCTGGAGTGTATGGGTAAACATGTTTTCTGGAAGCCTGTCCTGGCTGTTGTCACGTGTCTGGGGGTGGGGATTGGGGCTCCTCTTGCCACCACAATGCCATCACCTGTTGTCTTGAGGGCAGACCTACAGCCGGCTGGGCTTCTGGCCATTTAATGTGCCTGCATGTTTCCTCCCCAGGAACCTACCCGCTTCCCCACCAGGTCAGGGAGTCTGACCCCATGACTGCACTTGACCCAGGGAACACCCCAGCTCAGAGGCTTCCATGGGATCCCCACCCTGTACCCAGTGGGAGGAGAGTCAGGGTGGGAGGAAATTCTTCCATATCATGTTGCCTTCCTGGTCCAGGGTCAGATTCCACTGGCCTTGCCAGTTAAATTCCCAGTTAACTCTGGGGTTGGTTACACTGCTAGAAAGGAAGGAGGGCAGGCTTGGGGCTTTCCTTCTCTGAGTATCAGTTTGGTCACCTGTAAAGTGGAAAAGCACATCCACCAGTGAACAGGTAGCAAGGGTGTACAGCCACGCTGGGGTGGGTTAGAGTTATAGCCCATTTTACAGGTGAGATGAAGCTGCTTGGCTGAGCCAGGGTGCAATCCAAGGTCTGAGAGCTGCACCTGAGCGTCTGGGCCCTGCACCAGGGGGCTGGAAAAAGCCCACGGAGGCTTCACCCCCCTCCTCCCTTCTTCCCTCCTAACTTCCTCCCTCCCTCCCTCCTCTTCTGGACACCAGGAGACTAATGGAGGGCCAGGACCCCAGGCTGTCAGCTGGGATGGAGCCTAGGGTTCTAGCTTCCAGCTCCGGGGCTTGGCCCCTTCATTGGCTGGTGACCTGTGCAGAAACTGCCCCGGGGCACCACGCTTAGCTCAATGTTCTGCTGTTGCCACTTGAAATTGTTTGTTTGTTTGTTTTTAACAAGGGGCTGCGCCTTTTCATTTTGCACTAGACCTCACAAATCATGTAGCCATCTGTGCCAGGGAGTCTGGGTGACCCAGGACAGTCCCTCTCCCACCCCCAGCCTTCTCAGGAGAGACTGGAGACCTGGCACCTGGCCCACCTGCCTTTTGTGCTCTGCCTCCCCCTACTGGGTGCCAGGTGTGCCCAGAAGCCTCTGCAGGCATGCCCCCCGGGCTGGGGGGCAGGGAGCACGCCCGTGGGAGGGAGCAGGCTGGCAGCTGAGCCACAGCTGCTGGCCCGGCAGCTGGCAAGTGTTTGTGAGTAGGCGTTCGGCAGAGGTAAGGGGGGAATGTAACCTGGCAGGCAGAAGGGTTGGTGGGGGAACTTCTGGGCCCAGAGGGAGGGCTCTGGAGTCAGACCTGGCCTCGTTCTGGCTCTACTTCCTGCCGCGGGACCCTGGCAGGTTAGTGCCTCCCTCGTGTGTAAAAGGTACTAAAGTAGTCCCTACCTCACGGGATGGTACAAACTGGGAGAGATGGCATCCGTAAAATGCCTGTCCCCAGTGCTGGCCCTTGACATGTGGGAGCCATCATCTTCAATGGGGTCACCCTTGCTCAGCCAGCCCTGCCCTCCTCGGTGGTGGTGGTTGGGCAGGAAGACTTCCCACTCCCATCAGCTGTGTCTGCTCACCGCGTCATCCTCTGTCTGCAAGGCCCAGGGTCTGCTGGGTTTGCTAGGACTCCAACTCCACCCCCTCCCAGCAGGTTGCCTCCTCCTCCTGTTCCATTGCCTGGGAGGTGCTAGCCAAGCCCTTGGGGCGTAGTGTGCAGAGGCACCTCTGTCTCGGCCCTGTCCTTGGGTGGGTGGGATGTTTATTGCTGTGCTGGCCCAGATATTGTCCTTCTGGGGTGGTGACCCGGCAGGGACGATCCACCAGCTACTTCCTCTAGGCAGACGAAGATGACTGGTGACTGGATCTGGGCCTGCTGACAGCTCTCTGGACCCCCATCTCTGCCACTGCAGTTCCTGCAGCTTCCGGGAGGTGAGTTGGGGGACAGGAGCCTCCTCCCAGCCCTGAGGAGTGTGTCAGGGTGGGGGGGCACCTTGGCGTGCAGCCCCTCGTTGGGCCTCTGTTTTCCTGTCACACCCAGGCTCCTTTGTCTCCTCAGCAGGCCTGCTGGGGACGCCCCCTACTTCCTCCTGAGGACAGAGGGGAAGCTGGGTGAGTCTCATAGCCTGGAGGTATCTTAAGGAGCCTCTCCTCAGAAGGAACTTCGGGCCAGGTCAGGAACTCATCTAGCCAGGAGAGGACAGGAACCTTGGTTCTCCTAGGAACTGGTGGGCACCCATGTCCAGCGTCACCTGGGCCAGCCTGACCACTCCAGCCTCTGAGAAGAACCAGGTACTTCCTGGTTCCAGACCCACTGCCCAGAGGCCTCTGAGGGCTTTTTCCAGTATCCCATGGAAGGGAAGAATCCTAACAGTGCAAAGATTGCTAAGGGGTGAGAAGGGGAGAGTCACACCCTGGACCCCCATCCTGGGGCAGGAAGGGCTGAAGCATAGGCCACCTCCATCAGACCATGGGGGAGTGACTCCGGGGTGGGGGACCGGCTGCGCAGCTGCAGGCGGGGTCGGGGAGCAGCGCCAGGATTGGCCGCAACCTGCCGTCCATGAAGGCCCTGGCGTGCCTGTGAGGCAGGCCTGGGGCTTCCAGGGGGCAGAAAGGCTTGTGGTTATTCAGCAGACAGGTCTGCTGGAATCCCAGCTCGGGCACCTCTGTACTCTCTGTGCCTCACTTTCTCCCTCTGGAAAGTGGGAGTAACAGCAGTGCCCATAGGTTATTTTAAGGATTCAGCGAGGTATGTTTGCAAAGTGCTTATTAGCACAGGAGAAAGCACCCGACACACATGGAGCTGTGTGGGTTTTCGTATCCTTGTTGTTGCTGTTGTTATTATTATTATTTTGGCCGTGCCGCGAGGCATGGAGGATCTTAGTTCCCCGACCAGGGATCAGACCTGTGCCCCCTGCGATGGAAGTGCAGAGTCTTAACCACTGGACCGCCATGGAAGTCCCCTTGTTCTTGAGGCCCAGGAAAGGGAAGCTAGCCCTAGAACAGAGCCTCCTGGAGCAAGCCTGGCCCCAGAGACACAGCAGGCCTGACGGGGGAGCTCCAGGTCCGGATTTGGTCCAGGAGCTGGGCTGCGGCACCCTTTTATTTCCGGAGTCTAGGTCATTGGCCTGGAGCTGGGAGAAGGGCGAGGGGTGGATTGGGTGCCTCCACCCCTCGCCTCTAACCTGCCTGTGACCTCAAGGAAGGGGCTCCTGTTCTCTGAGCTCCCAGCAGTTCCGTTCATCAGGTGTCCTGGCTGACTGCCTGGCCTCCTGCTCCGTGGTTTTCTGTCCCGTGGCCAGCAGGGTGGGTCAGGCGCCGAGGAGGGCTGGGGTGAGGATGGGGCTGAGGCTCAGGAAGCGGATGGAGGTGGACACCAGGGGGCAGGAAGCCTTGCATGCACCCCTGGCTGTTTGCACTCCCCCCCGCACTGCCTGGTGGGCAGTGCCTCCATGGCCTGGAGGCTGGACCTTGGGGGCCCCCTGACTTTTGTTTAAATTAAAAACAAAGTGGTATTAACTTCCCAAATTAGTCCAATGCAAACCACCTGGAATTTTATGAAGCAGAAAGTGAAAATAGCACCTACCCCACTCTCCCCACATCCACTCTCCAGGGGAAACTACTGCCAGTAGTCCTGAGTGGATTCTTCCAGAAGCCTTTTGTGTGCATTTACAAACATATATGCATAGATAGTTGTATAAAAAAAAGGAATCATGTTATACATGCAGTTCATTTTTTATATTAAAAATAAATTTTTAAATATAAAAACATTGACCATTATCTCAAAAATTTTGGAAAATACAGTTAAGCCAAAAGAAGACAGCAGCCCATAATCTTATCATTTGAAAAATAACCACTGTTGACACTTTAATCACTATGATAGGCAAAAGTATCTATTTTCATTTGACTTATCTTTCTTCTTTTTTTCACCTTTTAAAATACTGTGTTAGGGCTTCCCTGGTGGCGCAGTGGTTGGGAGTCCGCCTGCCGAAGCAGGGGACACGGGTTCGTGCCCTGGTCCGGGAGGATTCCACATGCCGCGGAGCGGCTGGGCCCGTGAGTCATGGCTGTTGAGCCTGCACATCCGCAACGGGAGAAGCCACAACAGTGAGAGGCCCACGTACCGCAAAAAAAAAAAAAAATACTGTGTTACACCCGAATGACGGCATGCATTATACTTGTAAAAATAAAACACATATAATGAACCTCTTGAACACATGTCCCACTTAAAGACCAGACCTTCGTTATTATAACTTGCACACCCCTGCCTTTCTTCTCCTCTCCCTCATCCCTCCCCACAGAGACTGCTGTACTCTTGACTTTTGCTTTTAAAACTTTAATCAGTCTGATAGGCAAAACTATCTCCTGTCCTATGACAGGCGGCCTACTGCCTGCTGTATGCTTAAACAGTATATTGTGTAGTTTCATTTGTCTTCCAGGACCTGGCTTTTTCACTCCTCATGTCTGTAAGATTCATCCATGTCATTCCCCCCCACCCCCGCTATATAATATTTCACCATGTGAACGTATCATAATGTAATTAAAAAATTCCATTCTCCTTGATAGCTATATGAGTTGTTTCCAGTTTTGTATTATTTCAAGCATTGCTGCTATGAGCTTTGTTACATACATTTGCAAGAATTTCTCCAGGGTATATACCTAGGAGCAGAATGCAAAATTTTCCAACTTTGTTTTCCAAAGTGATCATAGAGGTACATTTTAAAAACTCGCTTTCTTCACTTATTACATATCCTGTAAATATCCTGGACACCTCTTCCTGTCGGTGCCTATTGACCTGCATCATTCATTTTAGCGGGGCTGTGTCTTTGTTCATTTAACCAGGTGTACAGGCTACTTAATTTATTTTTCACTATCGCATAAAATGATGTAATGAATACCACAATTATCATAAGAAGTAATGTAACATTTTTAATCCTAACAACACCCTGTGAGGTTGTTCTCCCTATTTCCGGGAAGCAGGGGAAGTGTAAGTAAGTGCCAAGGCCGCACAGCTAGCAGACGGCAGGGTCGAACTTGAATCCAAGAGTGGATCCCTGAGTTCACCCAGGGTGACTACTGGGTGCAGGGCTCTGGAGGCCCGAGGTAGGGATGCCCAGGGAGAAACTCAGCTGATTCCAAGCGCAGTGTGCTCTGGGACTCAGTTTCCCCATCCCCGTCGTGGTAACAATAAAGCGAGGTAGAAGTGGGCCTGACCCACACTAAATGTTCTCCGGAAGACTGTTGTTGTTGTCGTTGTCACTACAGGCTGCCCAGAGGAGTAAGCGAGGCGCTCGGGTGCCCCGGGCCGGGGCTCGTCCGCCCCTCACCCATCCCCGCCTGCACCGCCCAGGGGCGGGGCCACCCGCGGCCCCCGAAGGCTCCGCCCGCCTCCCAGGCCTGAACCGAAGAGCGGCGAGCGGCGGCGCTAGGACCCGGCGGGCCTGGGCTGCGGCGGGGCCTGGGCGGCCAGAGTGGCGCGGACCCTGGCTCTTGGCTTCCGGCGCCATGTGAGGGGGCTCGGGGGTCGCGGGGAGCCGGGCGCTCCCCGGGGGAGGTGAGCTGGCGCCGCGCGGGGGCGGGCAGCGGGAGGGGGGCGCTGCCTGCGCCCCTGGTGGTGGTGGGGCCGTCAGGAGCCGCTGGGGATGGAGATTGATATGGGGGCCCCTGGGGCTCCCCTAGACCCACTCACTCTTGGCAACCGCGCCTGGAGATCCCGGTCCCCGCGCCCAAGGGCTGTCGCGGTGTTAGCGGGGCCTCCTGCCGCTGACTACCCCATTAGAGCTCGGGGACCCTGCCGCCGTCCTGCCTCCCTTCTCTTCCCAGCTGAGGCTAGAGCTCCGTACCCCCCGGAGTGCTGGAGTTGGGGGGTTCAGCGCAAGCGGGGCGCAGAGGGTGAGTCGTCCCCCTCCTAGGTGCACCCACGGTTTCGGCGCCCCCTATTTGGAATTAGGAGCCCCCCTCCCCCTTCTCCCGGGAGCTCTCCTCCCACGTGGCTCGTGGGGGCGTCCCGAGCCTGCAGGAGGACTCCCCGAGCTGGGAGAAGCAAAGCCCCCAAACAGAGGGCAGGGTGTGGCCCCATAGCCTGAGCTCACGGTTTCAGCCCCCCGGCTCCGCCCACCTTGGGGCTGAGTCCACGATCCTGGCTCAGAGCTCTGGGCTGCTGCCTCCCTAGCCTGAGCAAGTCGCTCCCAACAGTCCTGCTCTCCGGTGCTGGGCCAGGTGCTGGGAACGCACTCGGTGGCCTCTGGTCAATTCCAGCCCTGGGGGATCCTTGAGAGAGATCCAGTCAGGCTCAGCCCTGGGCTGCGCCCTGGAAACAAGCATGGAAATAAGGCACCCCAGCAGGCTCTGGACAGCTCTGCAAGGCACTTTGCCTCTCTGAACCTCAGTCTCCTCATCTGTGAAATGGGGATAAGAGCCCCTGCTGTGCAGAATTGCCAGGAAGATTCAGTGAGTGGGTGATGCTTAGCAAGGGCTCCGCATTTATTGATATTAGAGGGAAGTTGCTGGGCCATATCAGAGGGCAGGGGAGTGTTTCTCTGGCAAGCTTGTGGAGAGGCAGGCCTTGAACAATGAATAACCACAAAACTAACAGCTGCTGTCACTGATCAAGCACTTTCAAATCCTGTGCTTCCGTTGCCACATCTGCTTGAATCCTCCTAACAACATTGTGAGTTACCTACTCTTATTATTCCATTTCACAGATGAGGAAACTGAGGCTCAGAGAGGTCACATGGCTTGCCCGAGGCCCCTCAGCCAGTAAGTGGTGGAACCGGGATTCGCACTTGAACATGAGATGCTGTACTGACCATGGTCTTCTCAGAGCAGGATTGTGACGGTCCTGACCAGGGGGACAGTGGTCCTGGCTGAGGGCACTGCTCAGGCAAAGGTGGGAAAGTGGGGGGTGGGCCTGGGAACTGGAGTGCTCTAGTGTGTCTGGAGCTTGGGGCATCCGAAGGAAAGGGTAGTGAGAGGGGAGGCTCAGCTCAGAGAGGCAGCTGGAATGCTAGAGGCGTCAGGGTAGATGGGGACTACCCAGGGATCTGGATGACTTTTGCCTTAATGGGCTATGAATCTAAGAACAAGCCGCTCTTCCCTTCTGATGAGCCGCAGTTTCCTGATCTGTGCCGCAGGGACTGGACCCTGTGAGAGTCCGGATGAGAGTCCTAGGGGCCTCCCTGCATGGCTTTGAAGGCTGGCTGCGAAGGCTGGCTGCGGAGAAATCTGAAGCTGGGTTTGGGAGGAGGGGGCTCCCGAGGAGAGGGGGCGGGGTTGGGTGGTGGGCGGAGTTAAGACCCAACCAATCAGGAGCGGCGTGGGGGCACCTCCTTTAGCCTGGGGCTCTCTGGCTATTCCTGGTGGCGGTGTAGGAGTAAACAGCTGCTAGGTCAGGGGGCGGAGATAGTGGCGGGAGATGGGAGGCCCCTGGAGGGAAGGACGGAGCTGGGAAGCTCCTGGGCCCCAGTTTCTCTCTCTGCTCACTCTCCTTCCCTTAGTGCCTTCTGGCCTCGAATCGGCTGGAGGTGGCTGGACACAAGTACTTACTTTTGACAGGTGGGGAAATTGAGATCTGCAGAGAAGCTGCGTCCTGCGTGGATGGGCGGGGGGCGTTGGGGAGTGAGGAGCAGAGCTGAGCTTGTATGGTCCCGGACCCCACTGCGCCCCAGGGTGGGGCTGTGATTATAACCATTGGACAGATGAGTCTGAGCCCTTAACCCCCAAGATCTTATTAATGAACAAAGTCAAAGGGGAAAAAAAAGATAAGAATGAAGTCATTCAGCAGTCCTCCTGCACCCATCTCCAGGGCTCTGGAGACACAGCAGAGAATGTGAGGCCCTGTGCCAGCTGCGACCTCAGAGAGCTCTCAGCGGGGAGGTGGCACGCAGGGCACATTCCTGGCCCACCTCAGGCCGGGAGGATGAGTGGGCATGAACAACATTGTGGAGGGTGTCCTAGTCAGAGGGGCCAGTTTATGCAAGACCTGGAAGGGTATGAGTTTAGAGGAGTTTGGGGACCTACAAGGAATGTTATTCCCAGGCCTCAGGAACATAAGACAGGGTTTAGAGTAGGCGTGTGAATGGGGCTCCTGCTGGGTGGGGGGCAGGCCCCCCCCAGCAAGGGAACCAGTTTTAGGCCTGCCAGCTGCCTTCGAGCAGAGTGGGAGAGTGCATGGGCAGAGACAGAGGCAGGGCTCTGCCACCACCTGGCTGTATGACATCAGGCCAGTTCCTGCCCTTTCTGGGCCTCAGTGTCTCCACCTGCAAAATGGGTACAGCCCTGAGCCTTGAAGTCATGGGTGGGTAGGAGGGCTGGCAGGGGTGGGGAGGGTGTAGCCTAGGACCAGCTGGACTTGGGGGAAGGCACCCAGGCCGTAACTCTTTCTGTGGCTTGCAGGTGTGATCCCACACCCCTGCCCCCTGGGCCACCTGCAGGACGCTGGCCCCTGCCCCTCAGCAGACGCCGGAGAGAGATGAGTAGCAACAAAGTAAGTCCCCCTTCATTTCTTGTCCCCATCTCAGCTTCTTATTTCCCTCCGTGAAATGGGCTCCTTTGGACCTGCCTCAGACCCAGGCGCTACAAGTCTCTCTTCCCTGCTGAGAAGCTGCTGATGCCTGGGAGACCCTGGTGTGAGCCCTGCTGTGGCCACTGATCTGTGTGGCCTGGGCAAGCTCCTGCCTCTCTCTGGGCCCAGGTCCACCTCTGTCCTCCTAGACTTGACTGGTCCATCTGTGGTAAAGGGCTGGCCGAGAAGGTGACTGTGGAGTGCTATGCAGGAGGTGGGGGTGGGGAGTGAAGGTGAATGGGAGGTTGGGAGAGGGGGCAGTGGTCAGAGTCAAAAGTGACATGATATTATGAGCATCACTCTGAGGGTTTCAGGGTTCCCCATGATCCATTCATTTATGCTTTCCTGAGCACCTACTATGTGCCTGGCCCTGCACACCCCTTTCCTAGCTGCACTACAGCTTTGGCAGAGCCTGGGGGTTGGGGGTGGGGTGATCTGAGTGTGTCTGGGTCCAATCCAGAAAGAGAAACCACTCAGTAATTTGAATAGAGAAAGTTTAATATAAAGAATTACTAATTTTAATTGTGCATTGGAGTAACAGGGGATTAGAACTCTACAGAATACAGGGATAGCAGGTATAAGGAGCAGCTACTGGGAATTTCCAGTCGTTAGGACTTGGTGCTTCCACTTCTGGGACCCAGGTTCGATCTCTGGTTGGGGAACTAAGATCCTGAAAGCCGTGTGGCACGGCCGAAAAAAAAAAAAAGGAGCTGCTACCACACCCAGGGTTGAGACCCAGGCCTTGCTGGGCTGGAGAGGGCACAGCTCTGGCCCACTGAATGGCAGAGAACTCACTGTGGGGCTGTGCTGTGGAAGTTGTCATAAATCCACCTGCTAGGCTACAGGGAAGGCTGTTCATAGGAGATAACTCCCAAGAGACACTTCAAGCATCAGATAAAACTGCTCCGGGGAGGGGAAGCTTACGTTTTTTGGGTGTTACTGGTGTCGAGTGTGCCACATGAGCGCAACTCTGGAGAAGCTGTGGTCGCAGCAGGAATCAGAGGCACTCTGCTTCAAAACTGCCTGAGGCTGGATGCTGGAGGAAGCTGCTGGCCACTGGGAGAAGCCATGTGCACTGTAGAAGCAAGTGCACCAGCACCAGGCCCAAAGCCCCCGGAACCAGGAAGCAAACTCCCTTCCTCCTGACATGTCTCTCCGGCGCCCTCTACTGACAAAGTTTATTATGCAGTTCGCTGGCAAGGAAAAACCTGTAAAGGGCCCAGATCCGTTTTCACAGAGCAGGCAAAAAGAGTAAACCTGGAGCTGAGAAGCAGTACATTAATAACCAGCCCAGGGGGCTCAGCACAAGAAGCCAGGACTCCCGGGTCCCACCTAGCCTTGCAGACCCCAGGCAAATAAATACCAGTGGACACTTCAGATATCACTTTCCTGCCCTTTGCCATATGTTGGTGTACTGACTACCCATGCATCCTGATTCCTGACCAGATCCTTTCCCTTCAGGTTTAAATGAATGGTAAACATTTATAAAGAGTTACTGTTTGGGGGAAGACCTAGACCCTCTCGTTGGAATGTCCCACCTGTCTCCAAGCATCCTTCCAGCTGCAACTGGAAGGATCCTTCTGACCCACACTTCCAATCTCATCCAGCAAACCCTGAGAACCTTCTGTGCTCTGGGCCCAGCCCTGGGAGCTGAGATACAGTGGGGATCAAAGCTGACTCAGTCCCAGCCCTCAGAACTCATGGTTTAATTGAGGGGGACGGCTCTTTGAATGCAGCGTGATTGGTGCTGTGATAGGCGGTGCTCAGGGGGCTGAGGGAGGCCTTCCTGGGGGAGGTAGTGCCTGAACTGGTCTGGAATAAAGAGCAGGAATCAGCAGGCATGGTAGGTGGCAAGGAGCCTCCCGGGCAGCTGGGCCCTCACTGGCCTCTCCCCTCTCCAGGAGCAGCGCTCAGCGGTGTTCGTGATCCTCTTTGCCCTCATCACCATCCTCATCCTCTACACCTCCAACAGTGCCAACGAAGTCTTTCATTACGGCTCCCTGCGGGGCCGCGCCCGCCGGCCCGTCAACCTCAAGAGGTGGAGCCTCACCGATGGCTACATCCCCATTCTCGGCAACAAGGTAGGGCAGCTGCTTTGGGAAGCTCCCTGGGAGCTGCCTGGAGACGAATCCTCCCCATTGCCCACCATCGCTGCTCCCACCTCCTTCTTCTCCTCCACCTCTTCTCTCTGCTTCCACCAACCCTCCTAAAGGAAAGGGTGAATCCCAAGAGTCCAGTGCCTTCAGCCCCTTGTTGGCTGTGTGACCTCAGACAAGTACCATGTCTCTCTCTGGGCCTCAGTTTTCTCCAAGGTCCCATCCTTAGTGCTAATATCCTATCATCTCCTGAGTCAGAATCCCTTTGGGAAAGTCTCTCTGGTTTTCACTGATCTCTGTCTCTGTGTGGGAGTCTACATAGGCTTTCGGAGTAGGACACTAGGGTACTTGACGACACAACAACAGTAACAGTAATGGCTGCCCATTGTCAGTTGCCTGCTGTGCACTGAACACCGTGATCAGCAGTAATCCTCATACCAGCCCGGTGAGGTTAGCGTTATCTGCCTTGTGAGGCTCAGAGAGGTGAAGTCACTTGCCCAAGGCCACACAGCAAGGGAGGGGAGGAGCCAGGGTATTGCCCCAATGCCTGATGAGCTACAGCTGTGTCAAGAGGCCAACAGTCATTCTGGGGCTTCTTTTGGCCTTGGGTAACCATGAAACTCAGGTTGTGTTTCTGGAGTTCACCCTGTGGTCCTCTGAGCCCTAATGTTTTCCCTGGGGTCAGGGAGAAAATTATTGGCCTCAAGCATGGACTCCATCTTCTAGGAGGAGGTCTCCCCAGGCCCTGCCTACCTCTCTCTCCTCCCTCACTAAAACCCTCATAAATCTCTCGGGGTCTTTGGCATACAGTGTGTTGGTCCTGGGGCTCTGTGGCCATATAGACCTGGGTTCAAGTCCTAGCCCTGCGCTCCTCTGCTGTATGACTTTGGGGACATCCCTGCATGGCTGTTCTGTTCTTTTGTTCCTTAACTCTGCCCCCAATGAGCAGCCTTCTTTTGCTTCTCAACACACCCTGGTCATCCCACATCAGAGCCTCTGGTCTTGCTGTTTCTCCTGCTTGAATACTTTCCCCTGCATGGTTCCTTTTCATCCTTCAGGTGTCAGCTCAGAGAGGCCTCCCCAGGTGACTTTTCTAGGGCAGCTCTCACTCCTGCCACTCTTGATCCCCTGCCCCTATTTTATTTCCTTCCCAGCGTGTTTAACTTACCACCTGGCATTATTTTATCATTTACTTGTACACCGTGTCTCCCCAACCGTGAGCTTCTTGAAGCCAGGAGTGGGGTCTCTTTTGTTCATTGTTCTGTCCCTTGTACTTGGCCATTAGCCAGCTTGCTATAAAGATTTGTTGAATGTTGCATGAGTGGGCCTCAGTCTCCCTCCTGTCTCTAAAATGAACATCATAACTCCTGCTTCCTGGAGGCCTGGATGTACGGAGCACAGTGCCTGGCACTGAGTGGTCATAACAGTGTTGGCTTTCCTTACCCCCCCAGACTCTGCCCTCCCGGTGCCACCAGTGTGTGATTGTCACCAGCTCCAGCCACCTGCTGGGCACCAAGCTGGGCCCTGAGATCGAGCGGGCCGAGTGCACAATCCGCATGAATGACGCCCCCACCACGGGCTACTCAGCCGATGTGGGCAACAAGACCACCTTCCGCGTAGTGGCCCATTCCAGCGTATTCCGTGTGCTGCGGAGGCCCCAGGAGTTCGTCAACCGGACCCCTGAAACCGTGTTCATCTTCTGGGGTCCCCCAAACAAGATGCAGAAGCCCCAGGGCAGCCTCGTGCGCGTCATCCAGCGGGCAGGCCTGGTGTTCCCCAATATGGAGGCTTACGCCGTCTCTCTTGGCCGCATGCGCCAGTTTGATGACCTCTTCCGGAGTGAGACAGGCAAGGACAGGTACCAACCTCCTGCCCGCTCCTTCTGGCCAGTCCTGTGCTCCCTCTCAGCACGCTCCGCCCAGAGGGCCTGTTGCTCCCAGCATGCACTGCTGTGAGGGTGTGGTCACTTCTTGCCACCTTGTGGTCAGGTTTCCTAGGGGAGTTGGCTTCATGTCCAGCTCTTAGCATGAGTCATTTCCAACACGCTCTGCATGGCCTCGTCTCCCCCGGGATGCGTGAATGGCTCCGAGAGACTAGGGCTCCCAGCATGCTCTACTCTAAGGTTGCGCAGTCACTCCTAGCATCTTTCTAGGAGAGCTGCCCCATAGCATGCCTCATGGAAAGTGTTGACCATACCCAGCACATCTTACTTTAAGCACACTGTTGTTCTTAGCATGCTCTATTCTATTCTAAGGCTACATCACCCTCAGTATGCCCTTCTCTGACTAATCTCCCTAGAAAAGCTAAGCCAGTGCTATCCAATAGAAACATCATGCAAGCCACACACGTAATTAAAATTTTTATAGTAGCCACATTTAAAAAGTAAAAAGAAACAGGTGAAATTAAATTCAATATATTTTTACTTAACTCAGTATGTCCAACATATAGATGCTGTAAGTATTTTGTTTGATTTACATCTAAATATTTTAAAATTTTTGGAGATATTGTAAATAGCATTAAAAAAATTTTTTTTTTGGTTTCCCATTATTCATTGCTAGTATATAGAAATATGATAGATTTTTGTGTGTTGACCTTATATCCTGTAATCCTACTAAACTTACTTATTGGTTCTGGGAGACTTTTGTAGATTCTTTGGGATTTTCTGTGCAAATGATCATGATGTAAGGACATGCAAATAAGGACAGTTATTTTTTCCTTTCCAATCTACATGCCTCATTTCTTTTTCTTGCCTTGTTGCACTGGCTAGTACTTTCAATATAACATTGAATTGTATTGGAAGTGGTGAGAGTAGACATCCTTGCCTTGGTTTCAGGCTTAGGGCGAAAGTGTTCAGTCTTTCGTCATTGAATATGATGTTGGCTATAGGTTTTTGAAGCTATGGGTTGAGGAAGTTATTAGGTTGAGGAAGTTCCCTTCTCTCACTGGTTTGCTAAGAGTTTTTTTTAATCATTCCTGGATATTGAATTTATCAAATGTTTTTCTGCATCAATTGGTATTGCATGGTTTTTCTTTTTGAATTTTATTTTTTATACAGCAGGTTCTTATTAGTTACATATTTTATACATATTAGTGTATATATGTCAATCCCAATCTCCCAGTTCATCCCACCACCCCTGCCGCTTTCCCCCTTTGGTGTCCATATGTTTGTTCTCTACATCTGTGTCTCTATTTCTGCCCTGCAAACCGGTTCATCTGTACCATTTTTCTAGGTTCTACATATATGCATTAATATACGATATTTGTTTTTCTCTGTCTGACTTACTTCACTCTGTATGACAGTCTCTAGATCCATGCACATCTCTACAAATGACCCAATTTCGTTCCTTTATATGGCTGAGTAATATTCTATTGTATATACATACCACATCTTCTTTATCCATTTGTCTGTTGATGAGCATTTAGGTTGCTTCCATGACCTGGCTATTGTAAATAGTGTTGCTATGAACATTGGGGTGCATGTGTCTTTTTGAATTATGGTTTTCTCTGGGTATATGCCCAGTAGTGGGGTTGCTGGGTCATATGGTAATTCTATTTTTAGTTTTTTAAGGAACCTCCATACCGTTCCCCATAGTGGCTGTATCAATTTACATTCCCACCAACAGTGCAAGAGGGTTCCCTTTTCTCCACACCCTCTCCAGCATTTGTTGTTTGTAGATTTTCTGATGATGTCCATTCTAACTGGTGTGAGGTGATACCTCATTGTAGTTTTGATTTGCATTTCTCTAATAATTAGTGATGTTGAACAGCTTTTCATGTGCTTCTTGGCCATCTGTATGTCTTCTTTGGAGAAATGTCTATTTAGGTCTTCTGCCCATTTTTTGATGGGGTTGTTTGTTTTTTAATATTGAGCTGCATGAGCTGTTTATATACTTTGGAGATTAATCCTTTGTCTGTTGATTCGTTTGCAAATATTTTCTCCCATTCTGAGGGTTGTCTTTTCATCTTGATTGTAGTTTCATTTGCTTTGCAAAAGCTTTTACGTTTCATTAGGTCCCATTTGTTTATTTTTGTTTTTATTTCCATTACTCTAGGAGGTGGATCAGAAAAGATCTTGCTGTGATTTATGACAAAAAGTGTTCTTCCTATGTTTTCTTCTAAGAGTTTTATAGTGTCTGGTCTTACATTTAGGTCTCTAATCCATTTTGAGTTTATTTTTGTGTATGGTGTTAGGTAGTGTTCTAATTTCATTCTTTTACATGTAGCTGTCCAGTTTTCCCAGCACCACTTATTGAAGAGGCTGTCTTTTCTCCATTGTATATCCTTGCCTCCTTTATCAAAGATAAGGTGACCATATGTGCGTGGGTTTATCTCTGAGCTTTCTATCCTGTTCCACTGATCTATATTTCTCGTTTTGTGCCAGTGCCATATTGTCTGGATTACTGTAGCTTTGTAGTATAGTCTGAAGTCAGGGAGTCTGATCCTCTAGCTCCGTTTTTTTCCCTCAAGACTGCTTTGGCTATTCGGGGTCTTTTGTGTCTCCATACAAATTTTAAGATTTTTTTTGTTCTAGTTCAGTAAAAAATGCCACTGGTAATTTGATAGGGATTGCATTGAATCTGTAGATTGCTTTGGGTAGTATAGTCATTTTCACAATATTGATTCTTCCAATCCAAGAACATGGTATATCTCTCCATCTATTTGTATTATCTCTGATTTCTTTCATCAGAGTCTTACAGCTTTCTGAGTACAGGTCTTTTACCTCCTTAGGCAGGTTTATTCCTAGTATTTATTCTTTTTGTTGCAATGGTGAATGGGATTGTTTCCTTAACTTCTCTTTCTGATCTTTTGTTGTTAATGTATAGGAATGCAAGAGATTTCTGTGCATTAATTTTGTATCCTGCAACTTTACCAGATTCATTGATTAGCTCTAGTAGATTTCTGGTGGCATTTTTAGGATTCTCTATGTATAGTATCACGTCATCTGCAAACAGTGACAGTTTTACTTCTTTTCCAATTTGTATTCCTTTTATTTCTTTTTCTTCTCTGATTGCCGTGGCTAGGACTTCCAAAACTATGTTGAATAATAGTGGTGAGAGTGGACATCCTTGTCTCGTTCCTGATCTTAGAGGAAATGCTTTCAGTTTTTCACCATTGAGGATGATGTTTGCTGTGGGTTTGTCGTCTATGGCCTTTATTATGTTGAGGTAGATTCCCTCTATGCCCACCTTCTGGAGAGTTTTTATCATAAATGGGTGTTGGATTTTTGTCAAAAGCTTTTTCTGCATCTATTGAGATGATCATATGGTTTGTATTCTTCAATTTGTTAATATGGTGTATGACATTGATTGATTTGCGTATATTGAAGAATCCTTGCATCCCTGGGATAAATCCCACTTGATCATGGTGTATGATCCTTTTAATGTGTCATTGGATTCTGTTTGCTAGTATTTTGTTGAGGATTTTTGCACATATATTCGTCAGTGATATTGGTCTGTAATTTCCTTTTTTTGTAGCATCTTTGTCTGGTTTTGGTATTAGGGTGATGGTGGCCTCATAGAATGAGTTTGGGAGTGTTCCTTCCTCTGCAGTATTTTCGAAGACTTTGAGAAGGATGGGTGTTAGCTCTTCTGTAAATGTTTGATAGAATTCACCTGTGAAGCCATCTGGTCCTGGACTTTTGTTTGTTGGAAGATTTTTAATCACAGTTTCAATTTCATTACTTGTGATTGGTCTGTTCGTATTTTCTATTTCTTCCAGATTCAGTTTTGGCAGGTTGTGCATTTCTAAGAATTTGTCCATTTCTTCCAGGTTGTCCATTTCATTAGCACAGAGTTGCTTGTAGTAGTCTTTTAGGATGCCTTGTATTTCTGCGTTGTCTGTTGTAACCTCTCCTTTTTCATTTCTAATTTTATTGATTTGAGTCCTCTGCCTCTTTTTCTTGATGAGTCTGGCTAAAGGTTTATCAATTTTGTTTATCCTCTCAGAGAACCAGCTTTTAGTTTTATTGATCTTTGCTACTGTTTTCCTTGTTTCTGTTTCATTTATTTCTGCTCTGATCTTTATTATTTCTTTCCTTCTACTAACTTTGGGTTTTGTTTCTTCTTCTTTCTCTAGTTCCTTTAGGTGTAAGTTTGGATTGTTTATTTGAGGTTTTTCTTGTTTCTTGAGGTAGGCTTGTATCGCTATAAACTTCCCTCTTAGAACTGCTTTTGCTGCATCCCATAGGTTTTCGATCGTCATGTTTTCATTGTAATTTGTCTCTAGGTATTTTTTGATTTCCTCTTTGATTTCTTCAGCGATCTCTTGGTTATTTAATAACATATTGTTTAGCCTCCATGTGTCTGTGTTTTTTATGTTTTTTTCCCTGTAATTGATTTCTAATCTCATAGCGTTGTGGTTAAAAAGATGCTTGATATGATTTCAATTTTCTTAAATTTACTGAGGCTTGATTTGTGACCCAAGATGTGATTTATCCTGGAGAATCTTCCATGGGCACTTGAGAAGAAAGTGTAATCTGTTGTTTTTGGATGGAATGTCCTATAAACATCAATTAAATCTATCTGGTCTATTGTGTCATTTAATGCTTCTGTTTCCTTATTTATTTTCATTTTGGATGATCTGTCCATTGGTGTAAGTGAGGTGTTAAAGTCCCCCACTATTATTGTGTTACTGTCGATTTCCTCTTTTATAGCTGTTAGCAGTTGCCTTATGTATTGAGGTGCTCCTATGTTGGGTGCATATATATTTATAATTATTATATCTTCTTCTTGGATTGATCCCTTGATCATTATGTAGTGCCTTCCTTGTCTCTTGTAACATTCTTTATTTTAATGTCTATTTTATCTGATATTAGTATTGCTACTCCAGCTTTCATTTGATTTCCATTTGCATGGAATATCTTTTTCCATCCCCTCACTTTCAGTCTGTATGTGTCCCTAGGTCTGAAGTGGGTCTCTTATAGACAGTATATGTATGGGTCTTGTTTTTGTATCCATTCAGCGAGCCTGTGTCTTTTGGTTGGAGCATTTAATCCATTCACGTCTAAGGTAATTATCGATATGTATGTTCCTATTACCATTTTCTTAATTGTTATGGGTTTGTTTTTGTAGGTCCTTTTCTTCTCTTGTGTTTCCCACTTAGAGAAGTTCCTTTAGCATTTGTTGTACAGCTGGTTTGGTGGTGCTGAATTCTTTTAGCTTTTGCTTGTCTGTAAAGCTTTTGATTTCTCCATCGAATCTGAATGAGATCCTTGCCGGGTAGAGTAATCTTGGTTGTAGATTCTTCCCTTTCATCACTTTAAATATATCGTGCCACCCCCTTCTGGCTTGTATAGTTTCTGATGAGAAATCAGCTGTTAACCTTATGAGAGTTCCCTTGTATGTTGTCATTTTTCCCTTGTTGCTTTCAATAATTTTTCTTTGTCTTTAATTTTTGTCAATTTGATTACTATGTGTCTCAGCGTGTTGCTCCTTGGGTTTATCCTGCTTGGGACTCCCTGCGCTTCCTGGACTTGGGTGGCTATTTCCTTTCCCATGTTAAGGAAGTTTTTGATTATAATCTCTTCAAATATTTTCTTGGGTCCTTTCTCTCTCTCCTCTTCTGGGACCCCTATAATGCGAATGTTGTTGCGTTTAATGTTGTCCCAGGGGTCTCTTAGGCTGTCTTCATTTCTTTTCATTCTTTTTTCTTTATTCTGTTCCGTGGCAGTGAATTCCACCATTCTGTCTTCCAGGTCACTTATCCGTTCTTCCACCTCAGTTATTCTGCTATTGATTCCTTCTAGTGTATTTTTCATTTCAGTTATTGTATTGTTCATTTCTGTTGGTTTGTTCTTTAATTCTTCTAGGTGTTCGTTCTTTAATTCTTCTAGGTCTTTGTTAAACGTTTCTTGCATCTTTTCGATCTTTGCCTCCATTCTTTTTCCGAGGTAGTGGATCATCTTCACTACCATTATTCTGAATTCTTTTGCTGGAAGGTTGCCTATCTCCACTTCATTCAGTTGTTTTTCTGGGATTTTATCTTGTTCCTTCATCTGGTACAAAGTCCTCTGCCTTTTCATCTTGTCTGTCTTTCTGTGAATGTGGTTTTCCTTCCACCGGCTGCAGGATTGTCTCACATGGTTGTTCTTAAGATTTAATCTGATGGATTATATTGATTGATTTTTGTATGTTGAATCAGCTTTGCATTTCTGGAATAAACTCCACTTGGTTGTGGGTGTCTTATTCTTTCTATATATTGCTAGACATGATTTGCAGTATTTTGCTGAGATTTTTGTATCTATGTTCATGAGAGATACTGGTCTGTAGTTTATTTTGTACTGTCTTTGCCTGGTTTGGGTGTCATGGTAATGTTGGCCTCAGAAAGTGAATTGGGAAATATTTTCTCTTCTATTTTCTGGAAGAGATTGTATAGAATTGGTTTTATTTCTTCTTTAAATGTTTGGTAGAATTCACCAGTGAAACTGTTGGCCTGGAGAGTTCTTTTTCAGAAGATTTTAAACTATGAATTCAATTTCTTTAAGAGTTATAGGATATTCAGGTTATCTATTTCACCTTGAGTGAGTTTTGGTAGTTTGTGGTTTTCAAGGAATTGGCCCATTTCATCTAAATTGTCAAATTCATGTATGTGTTTTTTTGCGGTTTTCTTATTATTCTTTTAATGTCTTCAGGGTCTATGATGATATCCTCTTTTTTTATTCTTGATATTGGTAGTTTGTGTCTTTTCTCCCTTCTTTGTCAGTCTTGTGAGAGGTTTATTTTCTTTTAAACTTTTCAAAGAACCACACTCAATCAAATATATCCAAAATATTGTCAGTTCAACATGTAATCAGTATCAAAAACGATCAGTGACATATTCTACATTCTTCTTTTCATACTATCTAAGGAATCAAGTGTGTATTTTACACTGACTGCACGTCTTAACCACATGTCAAGTGTTCACGTGTGCCCGCACGTGGCTAGTGACTGCTGTAGTGGGCACACAGCCTGAGGTTCTTGGTTACTTTTTCCATGCCTTGCTCTGAACTTGTGGTCACTTCTGGCATAACCTTCTCTGTTTAGTCTCCCCTTAGGAGTTTTCTCCTAGCATGTACGTAACTGCTTCTACCTACCATGCTCTGTGATCATGGTTACTCCCAGCCTGCCCAGGTGTGACCAGTCTCCCCAGGAGTTAATTCCCAGCATGCTGTGTTCCTATTCCTCCCCTCAAAGGAGCAGACCCCACACCCCTCATCTCTGTCCAGACAGCTTGCCCTCTGCCAGCTTGCCCGTGCTGCCATAGCAGGGCTGGACAGGGGGTGACTGAAGTGGGGGGAAGGCCCCATGAGTGGGTGGGAGGAGTTCTGGAAAACCCTGTGTGGGTTGACCCTTCCTCCCTGCCTGCATGCCCCCTCATCGTGACCCCTCTTTGCCCCCAGGGAAAAGTCCCACTCGTGGTTGAGCACAGGCTGGTTCACCATGGTGATTGCGGTGGAGTTGTGTGACCATGTGCACGTCTATGGCATGGTCCCCCCCGACTACTGCAGGTGAGCACCCCCAGGGCGATGCCCAGCCATTGGCCGCAGGGTGGAGCTGGGGTCCCAGAAACCTTGGCTGGGGTGCCTTCAAGGGCCTCTATTTTATAGTATTCAAACTGCTCTGCCGAGATCTAGGCTCTTTAGAGCTACCCCAGGAGCCTCAATCCCAAGCTTAGCCAGAGTCCAGAATTTGTATATTAATAATAACTATTTTCGTTATTACTATATGAAAAGCCCAGCAGGTGACAGCTGTTTTTTACCAAGTGCTGACCGTGTACCAAGCATGGCTTTTTATTATCTCATTTACTCCTTATAGTGACCCTAAGGGATAAGTGCACTATTCTTCCCATTTCATAGATAGAAAAACTGAGCGGGACGTTTTGTGAGTGGCCTCAGTTCCCACGAACAGTAAGGGGTGGGGGCCAGGCTCCAGAGCCCGCAGTCCTTACCACTACCCCATATTGCCACCCTCTTGGGAAAAGGAAAAGTTTCCACTGCATTTAAAAAAAAAAGGAAAAAGAAAGTTTGAGAGTCACATACCTAGTCCATCCTACACCCATTTCACAGATGGGGAAACTGAGGCCCAGGGAGGGGCAGGGATTTCCCCCACTGAGGCCCTATAGCAGGTCAGGGGCTGGAAAGGGCAGGGTCCTGCTGGTGCCCACCTTGCCCTTATGGCCCCATCTGCTCTGCCCCAGCCAGCGGCCCCGCCTGCAGCGCATGCCCTACCACTACTATGAGCCCAAGGGGCCGGACGAGTGTGTCACCTACATCCAGAATGAGCACAGCCGCAAGGGCAACCACCACCGCTTCATCACGGAAAAGAGGGTCTTCTCGTCCTGGGCCCAGCTGTACGGAATCACCTTCTCCCACCCCTCCTGGACCTAGGCCACCCTGCCTGTGGGACTCTTACAAGGGACACAGGAGAAGTGGGTCTCCGCCCAGCCGCTCGACCAAGGGCCATCGTCTGGCTAATCAAGGCTGGTCAGAGTGTCTTCTGGCCATTCCGTCCTTGAAGAGGATATAATCTCCAGCCGTTCAGGGCCTGGGGGTATCTCTTGGCCAATCAGGGATTTGGGCTTCTATGTGGTTACTCGGGTGTCGAGGGTATTTCTTGTCCAGTCAGGGTCTGAGCATAGTCAATCAGGGTATTTCTGAGTAATCCGAGGCTAATGTCGTGTCTTTTCCCATGAGGCCTTGGTTCAGAGTCTCAGGACAGACTCTAAATCACTTCCTATTGGTTGGGGCAGTGGGGTCCTGTCCCAAGGAGCTGGGAACTCGTGTCGTCCCCTCACTCCCCAGAGCCAGAAAGAGGTTGTGTGGCGGTGGAAGCTGTCTGGAGCCCAGGCAGGGGCATCTGTGGGATTCGGGGGGTTCCAGGCGTGGGAGGCAGGTGTCCGGGTCTTGGCTCTGCCGTGAGTGGCCTTGGACAGACCCCTTGCCCGCTCTCTGGGCATCCTTCTGCCTGTGTCAGGTTCTAGAGTCTGAGAACCCTCCCACCTCCTCCAACGACCACCTTAGGTCTGTTCTCTGTCAAGATTGGACCCCACCAGCCACCACCCCTTGCCGGAGGGCTCAGCTCTCTGAGGGTCTGGGGTTCCCTTCCCCACCTCCTCCTGGAAACTTGAGGATGTTTTTGTGCAAACTCTCCCAGGCTTTGGGGAACTCTGAAAAGAAGGGACAAGCCTTCAGCTGTTTTCCTAGCCCTTCCGCCCAGCTGCCATTAGCGTGGCTCTTAAAGAGCCAGGCCCCCTTTTCTGCCATCCAGCAGTGAGGTTTTCCACCTGTTGGAGGAGCCCTTGGGGCTGAGAGAGGGGGGATCCCAGCCCAACTGAGGTTCCCTGCAGCCCCTTTGTCTGCAGCTGCTGGAGTAGTCCAAGGGTCTCCCCCGGCTGGGCCTGGGAAGGCCCTAGGGGGCTGGGAGCTGTTGCCTGTGTTCTGTCCCCTCTCTCTCCATCAGGCACTTTATTGCTGCTGGACTTCAGTGGGGTGGGTTTAATCCCTGCTCTTCTGGAGTCTTAGAGAAGACTGGAGGAGGCTGTGCAATGGGTCGAGTCAGGTGGAGGAGACGGAGGCCCGCAGTGAGCCATTGCACACTGGGGCAAGGGGTGGGGGCCGGCGACTACCCTAGACTTGGTTTTGTAATGATTTGTACAGGAATAAACACACCTAAGCTCCGGCTGCGTTTCCTGTGTTCTGGGTTCGAGCTCCGCTTTCTCTGGCCCTGCACTTCGGGCCCCGTTGGGACAGTGCCCACACTGTCCAGGCTGGACGCCCACACACAAGCAGGATGTCCAGCTTTGTCAGCTGGCCAGTGAGTCATGCATTTCACAGCTTGGGTGGAGACCTGGCAGCCCTGGGGGCTGGAGGTACGTGGGCTTCCGGAGCCAAGCCCACCTGGCTCTTCCAGTCTGGCCTCCCCTTGCCTGTGTGACCTTGAGCAAGTCACTGCCCCTCTCAGAGCCCCAGTTCCCTCTTGGTTGAGACCAGACACTGCTCTCAAGGAGCTCAGGATAGAGGGAGGGGAGGGGCCCCACGACAGGTTCAGGGCAGTAAGGGCCACACAGAGCAACACAGGGCGCTGCGAGCATAGCTTTGGAGGAGGTGACGTTCTTCCAGAGGAAGATTCCTGCAGAGGTTTTGGGGAAGAGCTTCCGGCAGGAAGAGAAGGGGGCCGGGAGAGGACATTTCTGTCACAGAAGCATCTGCGGCGGACGGGATGGAGGAGCCCAGAGAAGAGGATTGAAGGGGAGAGGCAGGTGATGGGGTCAGAGGTTGGCTGCAGGGGGGTGTTGCTGAGGGCAGGGAGCTGAAGTACCCTTCAGGCCCTGGCAGGAGGGAGCCAGGCAGGGCTGCAGCCCTGGGCCAGGCGGCGTGTGAACTGTGGATCCCTCACTGCTGCCTCTGTCCTCTCAGCTAAAGGGCTTGTTCACTCCAGGTTGGCAAGAGCAAGCGGGTCCGTGACTCGGGGAGATTACAACCTGTTTAGGAAGATAAGATGCCCTTGGGAGCGGAGACCTAACAAAGGGTGACTGTGAGACAAGGGCAGGTGGCCTGCTGGAGATGGAAAAGAGCTCTCCTGGGCACTGGGCCAGCGGGATGGGGGCCACGGAGCTGGCCAACGGGAATGGCCCCTGCATTTGTCTCAGTTCATGTATACATTGGCTCAATAGGTGGCCACGTGCCATGCGCTGTGTTAGGTGCAATTGATGAGGGAGCGGATGTCAGGTGGGAAGAAGGGCCTGAATGGAAGCCTAGTGGGAGGACCCACGGCCTCGCTCAGGGAGGTCAGCAGGAGGGAGTCAAGAGGGGTTGGTTGCTGGGGGTGGACCCTAGGAAAGCTCAGTTCAGCGTCAGCAGGTAGGACTTTGATGAGGGCAGGAGGTCCAGGGTCTAGTCCTCAACCCCACATGCTCTCACTGCCTCAGATGGGACCCAGCCGAGACTGCTCCACTCATGGCCAAAGTTAACTTCCTGAAGACACCTCATCACGGCCAGCTTTGCTCTGAAAACTTCACTGGCTTCCCACTGTGGTCAGGACCAAATCCACCTCCTAATTTGGGGTTCAGGGCCCTCCCGTGAACTCTTTTACCCAGTTACCCCTGTGAGGCCCCTACCCCCCACTCCTCCTTGGGCGAGGGGGCATCTCCCACCAGCTGCAAACCCCACATGTGCTGCCCGAAGCAGCCACTCCAGCTGTTTCCTGCGGATGCTCTGCGGTCCAGCCAGGCCCGCCCAGGGCAGCCCCACACCTGAGCCCCATGTGCTGGACACATGGATCCAGCTGTGCACCTCAGAGAGTGGCCACCCAAGATATATCCCCCGATGCTGGCTCATTGGAATTCTTTATTAGCTAGAATATTTTAAAATGTTTTTTAAGACTTGGTTTCATTTTGTACGGTTATGTTTTAGGTATTTTTTTATATTTTAAAATAACTTGAACTATACAAACACTGTAAGATGGAAAACGAGGGTATCACCCAGTCCTATTCCCTGTTGACAGTTTAGGGTTCAATCTTTCAGATTTTTCTTCCGTGTACTTTTTTTTCTTTCCCTCTCTCCCTTCCTTGCTTTTCTCCTTCCCTACTTCTCTCCTTCCTTCCTCCCTCCCTCCCTTCCCCTCTCCCTTTTTTTCTTTCTTAAGATTGTAGCCGGGAAAAAAAATCCTGAAACTTTAATATCCCAGCCTTGGTGGAAAATCCATAGATCATGCGCAAAGGAAATAATTAAAACAGGTACTTAAAATATATTTTGTTCAGTTTCTAAGATTTTTAAGGTTTTTTTTAATTGTGGAAAAAAAGCACATAAGATTTACCACTTACCCATTTTTAAGTGTACAGTTTAGTAGTATTAAGTTTTTCTACACTGTTGTGAAACAGACCCCCAGGAATTTTTCATCTTGCCTCTCTGAAATTCTCCCTTTCCCCTCAGCACGTGATAACTATCATTCTACTTTCTGTTTCTATGAATTTGACTGCTTTAGGTACTTTGTATAAGTAGAATCATACAATATTTGTCTTTTTGTGACTGGCTCATTTCCCTTAGCATCATGTCCTCAAGGTACATCTATAGATGCTTGTTGTATTTAAAAAAAAAAAAAAGCATGGAGAAGCCTTTAAGTAAGAAGTGAAAGTCCTACCCCCACCCAGGCGATCCTGTGCACACAACTGCTCTCTCAGTTCTGCTGTAGTTCATCAACTTTAAGATACCGTTGATTTGATTATAAGACAAAACGATTTCAGAGATTTTTGTTTTGTTTTATAAATTTATTTATTTGTTTGTTTTTATTTTTGGCCGTGTTGGGTCTTCACTGTGGTGCGCGGGCTTCTCATTGTCGTGGCTTCTCTTGTTGCGGAGCACGGGCTCTAGGCGCACGGGCTTCAGTAGTTGTGGCACATGGGCTCAGTGGTTGTGGCCACGGGCTTAGTTGCTCTGCGGCATGTGGGATCTTCCCGGACCAGGGCTCGAACCCTTGTCCCCTGCATTGGCAGGCGGATTCTTAACCACTGTACCACCAGGGAAGCCTGATTTCAGAGATGTTGAAATGCAAAAAAAAAAAAAAAAAAGTTTAGGGATAGATTTTACACACATGCGCACATACACATCCGCATGTTTAGAATTGTTTTCATGAAGGTGGGATAAGATCAGGGCTATTGGGCCTTTTGCCTCTTTCTCTTGCCCCAGCAGCTACACAGACCTCCAGCTTCCTTTCTCCAGCTGACTCTAGGGAAGTTGCCATCTCCCCAGCCTGACTGTCTGTGCCACTGTCCCTCCCATCAGTCAGTCTCCACTGGCACTAGAGAACATCCTGTACATGTTTTGCACCCACTTGTGGGATTCCTAAGAATAGAAAGACACATTTGAAAGTTTGATTGACATCATCAATTTGCTTTCCCCATCATCAATTTGCCAGTTCACACAACCACCTACAGCTTTCGAGAGGGCCTTTCAAACAATTTCTAAGGCAGACCCTCTGACCCACTACTTACCCCTCCCACAAATGGCGAAACTAAAATCCCAACGAATAAGAACCTTGTCTGACGTCATAGGTGGCCGTGCTGGGATCAGGCCCAGGCCTCCTGGAGTCCAGGTTGCTGTTGTTGCTAAGAAACCACCCATCTAAGGTGGTCTCACCCTTCTGATAGTCTCATCCTCTTGCTTAAACACCTTCCATGGCTCTTTTGTGCCTGCAAGACAAATTCCAAATTCAACCCACTCCATCTGGGGCTGCTGCCTTCAAGGTCGTGATGTGGTCTAGTGGTCAAGTGCCTGAGTTCTGAAGATGCATGGTCCTAGGCTCTCATCTCTGTTCTGCTACATCATTGGGCACCTATTGCTGTGTCCCGGTCTCATGCAAAATGCTGGGTAAATACATCACTCTCTACCTGGGAACCCCAGGCAAGTTCTTTTACAACTGTGACCCTCACTTTCCTTCTCTGTGTTTAAGGATTGACAGACATGGTCTGAGTCCAATGCTCTGCCCGGCACCTGGTGCCCACTGAGTCTCATTAATGGGAGCTGTTCTTTTTTATCAGGATTGTCGGTCCCCCATCTGGGTGCCCTCAGCATTCTGAATGACCCACATCCTCATACAGCCTCACTGGGAGCTGCCTGGCAGCTGCATGGGAGCAGGGCTGGGTTTTTTTTTTATAATCTACACGGCCACCGCCTCGGAGATGGGTATGTGGGTGGTCTTTGGAGTCCCGGGAAGTTACAGTCCCAGAGGAGCTCTTGGGTCCCTTCCAACAGAGGAGGAGTTCCAGGTGGGTTTGGCCCAGGGGCCTCTGGGCAGGATCCGAGGAGGGGCTGGGGGACTTTGTCCAGCCAGCAAAGCCCCCAGAATCCGTGCCTTGGTGCCCTCCATCCCTGGTCCTGGCCTCTCTCTGCCACCAATTTGCTGTGGGATTTTGTGCAAAGAGCCTCTCCTCTCTGGGTATGTTTCCCCAGCTGTCATACAGGAAGACTGGTCCCGTCCGCCTGGAGTGATGCGGGCACAGTGGGGGTGACGAAGGAATGAAAAACCCTGGGGAAGCTGTAAAGTACCCTACGCGTGTGCAGGCACAGCCACCCGCAGGTGCACGGCGAGGGCGCTGGCCTGGCTTCCCATCAGGGCTCCGCTCTGGTCCAGTGCCCGCTTCCTTCCCGGTCCGCTCTCCCTCCCTCTGTCCCTCCCTCCCTGCCATCAAGGAGCGCTGGCTCCCGGCATGCCGTGCGCTGCTGACAGCCTTATAAATAGTCGCCTTTGCGGGCGGGCGGCCGGCGAGGACGGGCAGGGCACACACTGTCCCCGGTGCCCACCCGCACCCCTCCCTCAGGTCAGTGTGTGCCCGTGTGTGTGCCTGTGCACGTGTGGGGGGTGCCCCTGCGGGGAGTGGGGGGTGCGTGTTTGTGTGTGTCAGGGTATCCTCCGGGTTTGTGTGGCTGTGTGTTTGTATCCATAGTTGCGATCTGTATGCATCTGCCTGCCTGTGTTCCCCAGGCTCTGCTCTGGGTATTAGTGCCACACTGTGTGTGCCATTGTGGATGTGTGTGTGTGTGTGTGTGTGTTGCTCTCCCTCCCAGCCTCCGCGACAGTCACCCCTTTGTCCTGCCGGCACTCTTGGGGCTCCAGGTCCCTGCCCTTGGCACGTCCCACCTGGGGACTGGGGAGGGGGAGCTGTGGCTGGACTGCCTGCCCCGAGGACCTGGGCAGGGGCAGCCTAGGTGATGGGAGGAGCTATCCTGTCATGTCATTTTGAGTGCTGGGGGGACGGGAAGCCCCCTGGATGTTTGGCCCCCTGCCCCCACCTCCTGAAAAGCAGGGGCCCTGTGGGAGCCCTGGGACAGCCCATGGAGCCTTTCCTGCGTGCTGCTCAGTTACCTACCTAGGACTCTCCAGCAGCAGCAGGACTGGGCCTGGGGGTACAAGCCCAGAGAGGGTACAGCAGCTGCCCAAGGTCACACAGCTGAGTGATAGAGTTGGGATTTGAACCCTAACCAGTTGCCAACCACTGGAAATGCTGCTCTTGGTCAGAAGCTGGGAGACCTGGGTCTTGCCTGGCCTTGCCTTGTGATTGAGATGAAGTCGCTGTCCCATCGGGCCTCAGCTCCCCAGGCCCCTCAGCAGACCACCCAGTCATATTAGGAGTTGCCGTGGCCCTGATTTGGGGACCTTATAAGGCCTGGGTGCGGAGCCCGTAACCCAACTCTGCCCTGGACCCCTGGCTTCTGTGAGGACTCCTCACAACCCAAGTTATTTTGGACCAAGAAGTGGCAGGTGCCAGCAGGACAGAGGGGCTTAGGTTACCGGGAGGGAGCAGGGCAGGGTGGGGTCAGGAACAGCCCTCAGGGTGTCTTCGTGGCAGGCTGTCCCTGGCCCGGGGGCCTCTCCCTCCCCCACCAGCTGCAGACAGGCGCTGCCAGCTGTTACTCTTCCTTAAGCACACTTAGCAGGAGAGAGGTTATAACTCGTAGCCCCTGAGCAGCGGGACGGTCCGCAAAGCTGCTGAAGGACCTAGTGGGTGCCAGGCCCTAGTGGGTGCCAGGCCCGGGGCAGCAGAAAACGTAGCCTCAAGTGTGACCCCAGCCAGGCCCTGGAGCAAGTCTCTCCTTCCCTCCCAAGGTGACTGTGAGGATGGAGTGAGGCTCCCGGGGCTATGCTCAGCCGGGGCCAGGCCCAGTGTGGTGGACACAGGCCTGCAGTACACAACAGAGAGGCCCAGTACGGTGTGGTGTGTGTGATGCTGGGCGACGGTCACCTGCCAGTGTGTGGGAGTGGAAAGCAGAGTCCAGGAAGGCTTCCTGAAGGAGGTGACACCTGAACTGAGTCCTAAACAGTAGCACCTTGGGGAAGGGCATCCAGGTGTTGGGTGCAACATTAGCCGGGCCCTGGAGTGGGACACGGTCGTGGTGGGTGAGGGAGGCCGGAGCAGTTCAAGCAGTGGCTGATAGGGCTGCAGAAGCGCTGTGGGCCCTCGTTGGGGCGGTCAGCTACGTTAGGGTTTATCTTGGGGACTGAGGGGGCCATATACGGAAGGGTTTTTAAGCAGGTAAAGACGTGGTTTGATGCTTGTCAGAGAAAACCCTGCAGTTTGCCTGGTGGGGCACGGAGGTAAGGAGGCCCACGGGAGGCTGGAGCAGTGGCCAGATCCCCTGCTTGGAACACGGCAGTGGCGGTGAGGACATGGACTGGAGGGACGTTCAGGAGGGGAGGGCTGGGGCTTGCGTGTGTGGGGTGGATGTGAGTGGGGAGAAGGGCGTCCGCTCTGACTGCAGCCTCTGGCTGGGTGGTAGGGCGCAATGCTGGGGACATGGGAGGGACTGTTTAGAGGCTCGGGGTCTGCGGGGTCTCTGGGCCTGTCCAGGGGCTGTAGATGTTTGGGGCTGGGAGAGGAGGCCTGGGCTGGCTGAGCAGGGATGGGGGTCCTGGGAACCTGACGCCAAAAGTGAGAGGGTGGAGTAGGGGCCCCGGGTGGGGATGTCCCCGGCAGGAGGAATGCTGGCCAAGGGTTGAGGGTCAAAGGCCAAGGCAAGAGTGTCTCTGATGTTTGCTGGCGGCCTTGGGGAGGGCTGGTGGGTGGGGAGTAAAGAAGTGGGGGCCAAAGATGTGTTGCAGTAACTCTGAAGGCACCGATGGGAAGGGAAGGTGGAGGGAGACCCCTGGGGCTGTGGATGCAGCGTGTGTGTGTGGGGGGGTGTCCCAGGAGGCATTGGGCTTGATTTACACACTGAGGGAAGGTGTGGGCAGGGGCCACATCAAGGGTGGAAGTTGGGCCTGTGCAAGGGTGAGAGCCTGGGGACCCCCTCAGCTGAGGACCGTACAGGCTGTGGTCACGTGAGCAGCCCTGCAAATTTCTCTCCCACCCTGGGCCTCTGTGTCCTTTGAGCATCCTAGTCCAAACCTCATCCCAGATGAGGACACGTGCAGCTCCCCTCCCACCTGCCTGCCTCCGGGCCTTCCTCCCGGCCCTGGGGAGCGTTGTCGGCCTGTTTTCGAATCGCAAGGGGAGCAGCTCAGCAGTTGTTGGTGTGGCTGTTTATGCCCCTCGGTGCTGCCCCCGCTGTCTGGCCCCAGAGGGAGGAGGCAGGGACAGGACAGTGGAGGCATCCAGAGGAAAGGGGACTTTGTGAAGTCCTCCCAGCCTCCTGGGCCTTCCCTGCCCCCACCAGCCCCTCCACCCTCAGAGGAAGTCAGGGCCTAGCACACCATGTGGCTGGGCGGGAGCAGAGGCAGGAGAATCCCCCTCACCCTCCCCACCTGTGCCCTTGTCTTGCAGAGTGCTGGCTCGGCTCCCCAGACCTCGGCAGGATGGAAGGTACGGAAGCTCCCCTCTTTTCCTGCTCACAGCCTGGGCCTCAGTGTGCCCATCTGTTTAGGGGGTGTGCTTTCGGGAGACATTTGGGGAGGGTTTGGATGTGGCTCTGGGGTTGCTAGAAGGGGCCTATCTGGGGGCCTCCAGCATCTTCCTCAGGCCTCTCACAGGATATACCAGCTCCAGGATTACTTTTAGAAGGGAAGAGGCCTCCTTGAGGCTCCTAAGGGCCCCACAGCTCACCTCCTACACTGGTATTTATAGAGCTGAATCTCTGGCTCTTTCTGGAGACGGGGGCGGCACTGGTGAGGGAAAGCCTGCCCTGTGGAGAGGCCCCAAGAGTGCAAATGCCAAGGCAAACAATGACACATTCCTGCCCCTCTCCCGGACCAGCAGGGGTGGGTCTTGAGGATGTCTTGGGCCCTCCTGGCTCCTATAGGCTGGGACCTGGAGGGAGACGTGGGCCAAGAGCCCGGCTGGCCCGCCTCCTGGCAGCACCACCCGTCCCTCCCTGGCGCTGGGCCTCGGCCTGGGCGGCTCTTAAAGGAACCCAGCTGTCCTGGCTGCTGCTGCGGCCTGAGGCCGGCGGTCATCCTTCCACCCCCGGGCCTCTGAACGTCCGCTGCCACTGGGCTGTGGCCTCCCCCCACGCCCAGGCTTGAGCCCATCACATGGCAGCAGGCGATGGGAACCCACAGAAGTCATTCTTCGGCAGCTCCTCTAGACCTCCAGCCCCGTGGCTGGGAGGACCCCGGGGAACTGCCGAGCTCACCTCCCCACTGGGGCAGGGACTTCTTTCCTAAGTGCACACAGCGAGCTGCTACTTCCCTGAGAAGCGGGGAAGGCCTGGCAGCCTGGGAAGAGGCCCCGGCCGCAGCCCTAGCTCTGGCATCCCTGGAGCAGGCCCCTGCCTCTAGGCCTAGGTTCCCCCCTCTCTGGTGGGGCTACGGTCTTGCTGAGTTCTGAGATAGAGGTTGAAACGTAAGCTCCCTCCCTCTCCGGGCAAGGGTTCCACGTGCCCACCAGAGCCCCCTCCCCCCCCACCCCGGCAACCGTCTCCAGGGCAACGTGTGTTGTGGTTGCCAACTCCACACTGGTACCGCCCAGGGAAGGCAGGAGGCAGGCTGGCCCAGGGCCCGGGAGGGGAAGGGCAGGGGACACAGCAGAGCAGGACCATGCGGGCCTGCCACTCGGCACCAGACGCCCGCAGCGTGGAAGACGCTAACGCCCGAGGTGACCAGGCGTCTTGGCCAACGCGAGGGTTGGCGTCCGAGCCCCTGAGGGTCACCGTCACAGCGTGTGCTGAGCCCGTAGCCTTCAGGCCTGGAACACCCTCTTCTCCCTGACCTGTCCCAGTCTCTGAGTTTTCCTCGCCCCGTTATCCCTCACTCTGGGCTGACTCATCTGCCTCTCTGACGGGACCACGAGCTGAGTGTGTGCAGCTGCCTGGGGCCCAGCACAGGCCTGGGATCCCAGAGGTGCCTCTGGTTCTCTGTCCAGTGACTCACTGAGCTCTGCTTCCCTTTTCTCTCCCACAGAGAAACTGAAGAAAACCAGGATCATCTTTGTGGTGGGTGAGTCCAAGGCAGCAGGCAGGGAGGGGCTTTGCAGGCCCTGGTGGGAGCCTGGGCCTGGGGCTGCACCCTGGGCTCTGCCCCCGCTTCACTGGGTGACCCGGGCAGACCCTGTCCCATTTCTCGGGGCTTCTGAATGGGCGGGCGCTTGCAGGCGGGCCTGGTTCGGGGAAGGGCACCCAGTGTGAGAAGATTGTCCAGAAGTACGGCTACACCCACCTCTCCACCGGGGACCTCCTGCGGGCTGAGGTCAGCTCAGGCTCAGCCAGGGGAAAGATGCTGTCGGAAATCATGGAGAAGGGGCAGCTGGTGCCACTGGTGAGTGGGCCCCGGCAGGGTGAGGGTTGGGGGGTGATGGTGGCCCTGAGTGGACACCAGCCAGCAAAGCCCATGACACACTAGCAAGGCGGACCATGACCTTCCCTGTTTCTGAACCCTCCTGAGGGTCCCCACTGCCCTTGGCAGAAAGTTCCTTCCGGAAGCTCCCGGGAGCCTCCAGGACCTGCCCTGCCAACCCCTCCCACCACCAACCCCTCCCACCACCAACCCCTCCCACCACTAACCCCTCCGGACTCCCACCACCCTGGCCTTTCTGTCCCCTCACACTGATCACACTCTTTCCTGCCTGGAATGTTCTTTCCTCCTCATCTTTCATACCTTGCTGACTCCTCAGACTTAGGCTAAGACCCCCCCCCTCCCGCCAACTTTATACTCCAGTAGCCTCCCTTCTTTGTCCGTATAACCCATGTCATGCTTGGAAACTATAAATCAACGGTGTAATTGTCTGTCCCCTCAGCAGACTGTGAGTTTGCGGAGGGCAGGGAAGGTCTGCTTTGTTCACAGCTGTGTCCTCAGGGCCCAGACAGGAGGCTGGGAGGAGGGGCTTAGTCATATTATTGAGTGAATGAAGAAATGAATGAATGAATGAACGAATGAATGAATGATTCAATCAATCAATCAAGTCGTCACAGTTCACAGAAGGCTTCCTGGAGAGGGAGGCTTGTTTGGGAAATCTGTGTTAGGGCAGAGGGCATTTCTGGCTGTGGGGCAACGCGTGCAGAGGCCCGAGGAGGGGGTGGAGAATAGGGGGTCATGACCCCGCCTTCTTTTGCCACGCCTCCAGGACACAGTGTTGGACATGCTCCGAGACGCCATGCTGGCCAAGGTAGATACTTCCAAAGGCTTCCTGATCGACGGCTACCCCCGGGAGGTGAAGCAGGGGGAAGAGTTTGAGCGGAGGGTAAGTGCAACCTCTTGGAGCTGTGACATGGGATGAGCCGGCGAAGGCTGCTGTGATGGGCAGTTCTGAGCAGGGGAAGAGAGACACTGATTGTGGGCGGGTGGGAGGGTGGGCAAGGAGGGAGACCAGGGAGACTTTCTGGAAGTCTTTCTAGAAGTCTAGAAGAAAATGAATGGAAGGAGAGAAGGCACCAGGCTGGGGAATTCACAAACATGGCCGCAGGTTCCAGCTCAGCTGCTTGAGGCCTTGGGCCAGTCAGGCTGCCTCTCTGAACCTCGGTGTCCCCAACTGCAAAATGGGGACAGACAGTTCGCAGCTGCCTTGAGGAGCAGCGTGGGGATTAGAGAGAATGCATCCTTCAAAAATGGGGCTTGGCACCCCATAAACACACAATCAGAGGGGCAGGGAACAGCATGGATAGGGCTGGAAGGGTCACGCTGGTGTGGGGAGAACAGAATCTGTGGGGCAGGGCAACCGGCAGTGATGTGGGTGAGGACGTTCAGGCCGGGCTGAGGCCTCGAATGCCACAGAGGGGCGTCTAGTCTCCTTCCAGGTGCCATGGGGAGTCTGGCTGGAAAGAGTGAGCCTTGAGGATGAGGGCTCTGGGCTGCCTGGCACGGGTGTCCCCCAGGAAGACTTTCCACAGTGGGGGAGCACCTCACTCAAACACACACATGTGCAGGCATATGTGCCCACAGGCATACAAGCACATGTACATGTGCACACAGGTACAGACACACATGCACAAGGCCAGAGGCATATGCACACATGTACACAAGCATCTAATGTACACACACGCACACTCATGCAACGTGTGCGCACGGATGCAGTACATCCAGATACAGGGACGCACAGAGATGCACACACATACACCGATACCTCTGATGTCACAGGCCATATGGGGGAAACAGATGAAACCGCAAGTGCCCAGGAGGATGGAGAGGTCTGCTGACCTCTAAGGGTGGGTGTGGGCTCAGGGAGGGCTTCTCGGCAGCGGGAATGCCTGCGGGGAGGGCCGGGCATCTTAGGGGGCTGGGGCAGGACAGACCTCCATCCTCATTGCCTGTCTCTGTGAGGCTGGGCCATCTTTGGGCTTCCATAGCTTTAAGCCTCATCCAGAGGGAGGATATTATATTCCTTGACATCGAAATGGCTGCAAGACCTCAAGAAAGTGTCTGTCCTGGTCTGGGCCTCAGTTTCCCTATCTATGCAATGGGGATTGGCTGGGTTTCCTTCAGACTAGGAGGCCATGGACCCTGAGGTCAGATGCCAGGCAGCCCTGAGGCACGTCCTGATGTACCAGATGCATGATGTCGCCTCAGGCCCTCAGGGTCACATCTAGAAAATGTGGTTAATGAAAGTTAACCCATCCCTCCTGGGGCCGTTGTGGGTGCTACTGGGCTACAGGGCTAGGCACCTGGTCTTCTCGGCTCTGGACAGCAGGGGGCGCCTGGGCCTCACCGAAGGAGGACCGGTCGGCCTCCTGGCCCTTCCAAATCTTCCCCGCAGATGAAATGCTTATTGCAATGACAGGGACATTGTTCAGAGCCCCAGAGCTCAGCAGGCCCTCGCCCCTTCACTCAGCCCTCCTTATTCCTTTGTCAAGTTCATATCCAGCCTTGCAGGTATAAGACGCACCTACCTGCCCTCGGGGGCTCCAGGCCTGGCTGGGAGAGGGACCGTAAATAAATAACCAGAGGCCCTCCTGAGACAAGCTCGAGGCAGAAGTAAAGGGGGACTGGAAGCGCGTGTCGCAGAGAGCTGGGATGGTTGGGGGGGGGTGGGCATCTGCAAAGACTGTCCTAGAGGAATGAGATTTTAGCTCAAATCCGAAGGCGAGCACTTGGTATTGAGGGAAAGGGTTCCTGGCCAAGGTTCCCGGCATGAGCAAAGGCCTGGCAAGGGAGGAGGTGGATGAGAGCCCAGACCACAGACAGTCCGCGTGGCTGAAGCCAGGAGAGCAAAGGACTGAGAAGCACGAGATGAGGAGGTGGGGGGAAGGGTAGGTCAGGTAAGGAGTTAGGACTTTCTCCTGAGGGCACTGGGGAGCCATGGAAGAGGTTTGAGCAGGGGAGGGGCAGGGCAGATTGGTTTTAGGAAGGTCCCTCAGGCTGCCTTGCAGGAAGGGCTTGAAGGTCTGAGTGGGTCTCAGTGGGGCCTCAGAAGTGGGAAGATGGGGAGGAGATGGCCCCAGGGGGCAGGAATGAGGCCCCTGTAAATAGTGCCCCGCCTGCAGATCGGACATCCCACGCTGCTGCTGTATGTGGACGCAGGCCCTGAGACCATGACCAAGCGGCTCCTGAAGCGTGGAGAGACCAGCGGACGTGTGGACGACAATGAAGAGACCATCAAGAAGCGCCTAGAGACCTACTACAAGGCCACAGAGCCCGTGGTCGCCTTCTACGAGAAACGTGGCATCACCCGCAAGGTGCGGGCCCGAGGGGGCCCTAGGCAGCCTGGGCCTGTGCCTGGCTTGGCCTCAAAGTGCTGTGACCTTGGGCCAGCCCTCCTGTCTGGGCCTTGGTTTCCCCACTGGTTGGATGAGGGGCTGCTGCCCACTGTGGCTGGGCTCGGGGAGCCTGGCCTGGCTTCCGGGAGAGGTCAGCCCCCTGCCTCGGTGGGGCCCACCCAGCCTTCCCTGGCATCCTGCCCTCATGGCCCATCTCCCCACAGGTCAATGCCGAAGGCTCCGTGGACAGTGTCTTCTCCCAGGTCTGCACCCACCTGGACGCCCTCAAGTAGCAAAGCTGGAGCCCCTTCTCCAGCTCAGAGCCCGGCCCCACCCTCGTCCTGACTCAAGGCCTTCCCAGCCTGAGCTCAGCGCTTCCACCCTGCCCGGCTGGAGCACAGGCAGAGGAAGCCACTTTATCCTGTTTTCATGGACAGCTGAGCACTAAAGGAATTTCCAAGGACATTCAGTTTTACTCCTTTTTCTTTGATTCCATCAGGGATGATTCACATGGCGTGGCCGCCCCAGCCTTGAGTCCTCAGCCCCTCCCCTTCCCGTTCCTCTTTGGACCCCTCAGCCCGCCTCAGCCGGTACCCCTCTCCTAGCTCCGTTGGAAGACACAGGGCCCTTCTTCACACATGGCGTGCTGGGCCTGGGCTGTGCCAGGCGTGGGGACACTGGGTGACTGAGGAGTGGTCCTGGCTCTCGGGGACTCGTGGTCAGGCAGAGCTGGGCCCTGGCCTGGGTTCCTCTGCATCCTTGTCGTGTGGCCTTGGTCCTGAGCCCCTTAGCTCTCCGAGCATGTTTTCTGTCCCGAACCCCTGCTGGGGACTGGGCTGGAGCAGGCAGTGTGGTCATGGGCTGTGGGAGGGCTTCCTGGGCAGTGGGGGCAGCACACATCAGCCGGCCGAGTGGGCAGCGAATTGGCCTCCTTGGTGCAAGAAGCTTTGAGGGTCCGGAAAGGGCATCGGGATTGAATGGGGGGGGGGGTCATGGTCAGGGGTGCCTCCCTGATGAGGTGAGACCTGAAGGATATCCCACCATGTGGTCCTGGACAGGTCACAACCTGCCCTTCCTGAGCCCATTTCCAAGTCTGAATTAGGATCAGTGCCCCTACCCCCAACCCTCCCCCAAGGTTAGGGTGAGAACTCACTGAGCAAGGGGTGTGGGTGGTCAGTTACCGTGGCCTGTGGACCGGAGACCAGAGCAGCCTCAGGGAGGTGCAGGGCTGGGGTGCTTGGGGGCTGCCCCGGAATCCCCTGGGGAGAATCATCTTCCCTCTTCTGTTCTCTTTCACTCTTTGACCTCATCACGGAGAAAGTCTCCATTGGTGCTCACGTGTCCCTAACACCTGTCCCAAGCCCAGCTGGCTCCCTTTAAAGCCAAGAGAGCCTTCAACAGGGCATCCCCAGCTGGAATGAAATCCTGTGCAGGGCTGAGGGTGCCCCTGTGTGTCCCCTTCTACCTACAGCAAGTGCGGCTGGTTTTCCATTTACAGTAGTTATTTAAACTTTCCTTTAAAATAAACGTATTTAAGTTTTAAAAGATGAGTCTATTGAAGGAACACAAGATCAATAAATGATAGCACAGGGGAGATAGGTTCTAGAAGGCAGGCGTCATGCGGCCCTGGGTGGGGTGCGGCCGAAGGTCTCTGCAGCTGGTCTTTCTGTGCCCCGTGCCACCTGGGCCGCACCGGGAAGCCCCAACTCACTCTGTGACCGCCCACCTCGGGGTCTCCAAGTCGCATCTGTCAAACTGGGCTAAAACACGCACACACTCATGCATACACACACACTCGTGCACACACACGTCCTCTGTCGAGGTTGTCATGATCAGCGCAAGGATAAGTGGAAAAACACGCCCCTGAGATGATAAAAAGCTAAGAGAAATCCACCTGACAAAATTGTCTTCAATATCTTCATTTTTTTAAATTATAGCTTCATTAATTCAGGTGTGTCTTCAGTTTATGGAAACCTAAGCTGACCCAAACTATTCACCATGGAATCACTTTATTCACTAAAGAACAAAAAAAACCCTTGAAAACTTGAAAAAAAACACAAAATGTTTAACAGCTCCAGTAACTACCACCACCCCATCCTTGCCACTGCGAACCTCCCTTTGAGGGTTACGTCTCTGGAGCAACGGCTATGCTGGCAAAAGATGGGGTCGCGAGCCCCCAGCCTGCTGTGCTGTGGCTCCCAGAAGGAGGGCAGCCGTATTCACAAAATTCCATCCCACCTACTCAACCCAGACCAGCTCTGGGCAGCTCAGTGCACAGAGCTCAGAGGAGCCCCTGGTAGCGGGAGTTGCCTTGAACTGGAACTCTGCAGTGGGGCCTTGAGGGTACAGAAGAGTTTGCTTTACCACGAGACAGAGGGCATGGAAGGGCGGAGGGAAGAGCTCTGCGGAGTCTCAAAGGTGGAAAGGACCAGCTGTGGGGAGGGCTGAGGCCTTAGAGGGACAGGAGTGCAGGCTAGAAGTAAGGTGGTGGGTGGTGGGCAGCCAGGCTCTCAGGGCCTTGAATGCTGACTCAAGTATCAAGTCTTTCCCCTAAGAGCAATGGGAAGCTCAGAAAGAGCTTTGTTTTTTTTTTTGTTTTTTTTTTAAGAGCTTTGTTTTTTAATGAAAAATTTCAAAGTGAAAATTGGAGGAAATAATATAATGAACACCCATATACCCATCACCGAGATTTAGTAATTGGTAACATTTTTCCATACTTCATTGTTTTACTTTTGCCAAGCTATTTTAAAGTAAATCACAGATATGAGAACATTTCACCACTGAAGTCTGACTTCAGCGTGACTCTCCAATAAATAAGGACACTTTCCTATATAACCACAACTCAGAGGTCCAGGAACACTAAGTTACAGTAACATTGTGATAGGTAATAATCAGACCACACGCAATTTTCCCCAATTGTCCCCAAAATGTACCTTTGGTCAAAGCGGGACGCTATCCAGGACCACACGCTGCATTTGGCTGTGATGTCCATTAAACCTCTTTCACCTAGAACGCCCTTCCTACTCTTTGACATTGGCCTGTGACGGGATCAGCTGTCCTGCAGAAAATTCTTCCTTCCAGATTTGTCTGTTGCTTCTTCGTGGTGTGTTTAACTAGCTGCCCCGTCCCCTGAATTTATTGTAAACTGGAAGTTAGTTGTAGTCTTCGTAGATGCGAGTGAAGCCTTTGGGGCAGGAATACCTAATAGGCGAGGCTCAGGAAGGGTTTTTAAACCGGGCAGGATGGTCAGATCCGCAGCGCTTCCAGCTTTAACCTGCACACGCATCTCCCTGGGGTCTTATTAAAAAGCTGATTCTGGGGCTTCCCTGGTGGCGCAGTGGTTGAGAGTCCGCCTGCCGATGCAGGGGACACGGGTTCGTGCACCGGTCCGGGAGGATCCCACATGCTGTGGAGCGGCTGGGCCCGTGAGCCATGGCCACTGAGCCTGCACCTACGGAGCCTGTGCTCCGCAACGGGAGAGGCCACAGCAGTGAGAGGCCCGCGTACCGCAAAAAAAAAAAAAAAAAAAAAAAGCTGATTCTGATTCAGCAAGTCTGGTTTGGGAGGGAGGCCCCAGCTGCTGGTCCGAGGCCCACACTTTGAGGAGCTCAGAGAGAAGCTGCTCTGTGGAGGCGGAAGCCCAGGGAGGGCGTGGGAGGAGGGGGCATCTCTAGGGTCAGCGTGTGCTCAGCCCCTAGTGGTGGGCTGAGAGGGCGACATGGCATTGGATCTGAGACGGCAGAAGCTGTCACACTCTTGAGGTCTCTGGGGACACTCCAGGCTTGTCCCAAGATGTTGGAACATTCTAACCATCCGGGGGACTGGTACGGCGCCTCTGTAACTTCAGGGTCTCAGGCAGGGTGGGCTCCCAGATAGGGTGGTGTCCTCAGGTGCCTCCCGTGTACTGAGCCCCTAAGTCTTGGCCTCAGGGCTCCTGAGGGCCTGGCCGGAGGCACTGAAGTGGGAGAGGAAGGAAGCGGAAGCAGGGAGCAGAGGAGGCCAAGGCTGTCGCCTCCCAGACGCGAGAGGGGCCTCGAGTAAACAGGAAGGCCTGGCGGCTCCACAGTGGGGGGGCTTTGGAGGGGGGGGTGCAGAGCCCTACTGGACATGCGCAGCAGGCGAGCACAGGGCTTCCTTTCTGGCAAGCAGACCCAGAGAGGTTATGTGGCTTGCCCCAGGTCACACAGCGAGGCAGGGGCACAGGACTAGACCCTCGCCTGCCTCTCCTGCTTCTGTCCCCATCCTGGGGTTCTGGTGCAGGCTCTCCTGCCTCTGCTTCCCACTGTGGTTCATGGGGTGCTGGACAGTCTCTCCCCTTCTTGGGCCTCAGTTTCTCTTCCTATAAACTCAGAGTCCCTACAACTCAGAGGTTCTAGAATCCTGGCCCAGTGGAATCCTTCTGCCTCCTAGGTGGTCTTCATGGGTTCTCTAGACCTTGGGCATCGTTGGGTTTTATCAAGAACGTCAACATCACCCAGGAGGCGGCAGGTACCAGGACCTTTCCTCGGGGAAAGAGAGGGAGACTTTGAGGGATTTCCCTCTTCTAGAATAGAGTCTGGCAGAACCACTGACCCTGGTCACCTCCCTGTATCCTTGGGGAGTCATTTGCCCTCTTCAGAAACCCTGTCCCTGGGCTCAGAATGCCCCCAACACCCACACCCTGGAGACTCAGAATCACAACATGTGAGACCCCAGGCTGTGTAGGCCAGTGGTTAAGTCCATTCATTCATTGCATGAGCACTTACTGAACGCCTGTCATGGGCCAGGCACTATGCTAAGCGATGGGGATTCAGCAGCAAACAAAGCAAGGCCCTTGCCCTCATGGAACTTCTGTTGTAAAGAGGGAGACAGACAGAATAAACAATATATAGTATGTCAGATGGGGACATGCACCCAAGGTCCAATTGCTGGTGTGGGGAGAGGGCTATTTACAATGCGATGGGAAACCCGCACTGCCCGTGTGACATTTGATCTGCAACTTAAAGGATGAGGAGCAAGACCCGTGATTATCTAGGGGGACAGTGTTTCAAGGAGAGGGAACAGCAAGTGCAAAGGCCCTGAGGTGGGCACGTGCTTGGTACGTTCAAGGAACAGCAAGGATGCCAGCTGCAGTGGATTGAGCAAGTTGGGGAAGAGAAGAGGTCGAAGAGGGGACAGGGGTGGGGAACCTTGAGGGCCATTTAAGGGGCTCTGCCTTTTACACTGAGTGACATGGTTGCCTGCAGAGGGCACTGAGCAGAGGAGGGATGGAACTTGACTTGGTTTTAACGGATTCCCTTTACGGTGTACAGAATGGGCTGGGAGCAAAGGTGGAAGCAAGAAAGCCCACTGAGGCAGTGACTGCTATATTCCCAGAGGTGCTGGTGGTGACCAGAGTGGCAGTTGTAGGGTGGTGGGAACCCCACAAACAATGGGAATTTGGGGGGAGGAGACAACAGGATTTACTTATAGGTTGGATGAAGGGCATAACAGAGTCAAGGTCACCCTTAAGTCTTAAGCAACGAGAGGAGGGAGCTGTCATGGTCTGAGATGGGGAGACTGAGGCAGAAACAGTTGGCAGAGGACGAATAGAGCCCAGTTTTGAATGTGTGAAGTGTGAGTTGCTTATTAAGAGCCTGGAGCCTGGGGAAGAGTTCTGGCTAGAGACACAAAGCTGGAAGCCACCAGTATATGTATGGTATTTAAAGCTATTTGTCTGGGTTTCCCTGGTGGCTCAGTGGTTAAGAATCCACCTGCCAATGCAGGGGACACGGGTTCAAGCCCTGGTCCAGGAAGATCTCACATGCTGCGGAGCAACAAACCCATGCGCCACAACTACTGAGCCTGCACTCTAGAGCCCGCGAGCCACAACTACTGAGCCTGCATGCCACAGCTACTGAAGCCTGCACACCTAGAGCCTGCGCTCTGCAACAAGAGAAGCCACCGCAACAAGAGAAGCCACCGCGATAAGAAGCCCGCGCACCACAATGAAGAGTAGCCCCCGCTCGCCATAACTAGAGAAAGCCTGCGTGCAGCAAGACCAAAAATAAAAATAAATAAAATAAATAAATAAGGACAGACCTTGAGTTAGTGGTCTCCTGTTTGCCCTCCAGATGCACGCTCCGTCCCAATGGACACATCTACCTCCTCTCAGCCAAAAATAAATAAATACATTTAAAATAAATAAATAAATAAAGCTATTTGTCTGGATAAGGGCACCCAGAACAGTCCTTCTCAAACTTTAATGTGCACGTGAATGCCCTAAGGATACTGATGAAAGGCAGGCTCTGATTCAGCGGGTCTGGGGCAGGGCCTGAGAGAAGCTCCCAGGAGATACTAAGACTCCTGGCTGTCCAGTGGTTAAGACTCTGCACTTCCACTGCAGGGGGCGCAGGTTCGATCCCTGGTCAGGGAACTAAGATCCCACATGCCACATGGCGTGGCCAAAAAAAGAAAGAAAAAAAGAAGACTACACTTTGAGTAGCGAGCATCTAGGGCATTATATTCTATGGCCAAGACCCATG